AGGACCTTCTGCATGCAAAGCAAATGGCTTGGACATTGCGCCCCTGAACCTCATCAATGCTCAAGATGATATGCATTCTTTTTAAAGAGCCAACTGGCTGTGTAAGTCATGCTGGGTGGAAATCTGCAAGAGGTATAGAAAGAACCAGATAGAAACTTCATAATCTGAGATGGCTTGTTTGTGATTCCTGGGTGTGGTGTGGAAAAAACAAGTTATTAGGCTGTTGCATAACACTCTGCCTGAGAACTTTCTAGGACACCTGGATAGACCATTGATGGGAGGCGAGTGCTGGACTTGACAAAGCTTTTAGTCAGGTCCAGCAAGGAAACCTTAGACGCTCTTGTGCTGCCGCTGTGAAAGAGTCAAACAGAATTAGGTTGAGGACTACAGGGGAAGGAGGTGTTGCCGTGGCCTTCCAAGTTGTGCTCATTTAACAGCCCCTCTTGCGGTACTCGGACTTACAGTTTCCTCACTCACGAGGGCTCAACAATTAAAGTAGTCATTCACTAGAGCAGAGGACCTAGGCTAGCACAGCATGTTCATTTATAGCACTGGGAGATGGCCATCTGTACAGAACGTACCGCTCTGCTGTGCTTCACCTTTCCAATACAGCGAGATCATGTTCTCAGCTGCTGTAACGAAGCTCACTGTTAATGATTCCAGGAGCCCTGAGGCCTATAATTGTGGCACCCTTTACCGCCAGAGACTGAAGCATGAATCATCTCCAAGTTCAGGAAGAATGTAGGCGACTTCTCTTTGGAATATGGCATCTTTTCTCCTTATGAAACAGCGCGTGTAACAGGCGTGTAACAGGCAAATTAGTATAAGCAACATGGTGAAGCCTATGCCTGAGTGGGATTCATTCAGAAGGCCAGAGCAGGAGGATTATTTAGGCCCAGAATTTCCTGGAAACAGTGTCTGAGCAGAAATAGCTCAAAAATGTCATTTTTTTGGTTAGTTTTTTTGTACAATTCCCATCATCCCTAGCTAACAGGACCAGTGGTCAAGGATGATGGGAATTGTAGTCTAAAAACATCAGGAGGGCCAAGTTTGCCTATGCCTGTCCTGGAAGGCTTCAAGAGCTCTCCAGAGATGGCATAGCTCTCATCTGTTTAGCTCAGGGATGGGAATCCTGTAGCCTTCCTGATAGTAGCTGGATTCAAACTCCCATCAGCCCTGGCCAGATTGTCCAGCTTTTGAATTTTTATTTAAACAAAATGTATATTTAAAAAATGTATATACCACTTACCCGATACCAATTAAAGCAAACATTAAAAGGAAGCTGACTTTAAAAAATCAGAATGTTAATAAAACCAGTAATTCTAAAATCAACCATACATAATAAAATGACATGTTAACATTGCGAAAAGGCTTTAGCAGGTGCTGAAAACAATTCAGTGAAGGTGCTTGCCTAATACCAATGGGCAGGGACTTCCAAAAAGTAGGTGTTGCCACACAGAACATACATTATATGGAACTCGTAAAACGGCCGGTTTCGGAGATCAAAAGCAATCAAATGGGCCCAGGGGGAGTAATGTGATCCTTCAAGTAAACTGGTCCTAAGCAGCTGAGGGCTTTATATACTAACACCTTGAATTTGGCCTGGTAACAAATTGTCAGTCAATGCAGATCTCTGAGCAGGGGTGTAATACACTGCGAGAGCCCCACTCCTGTCAGCAACCATACTGCAACATTCATCACTAACTGTAATTTCTGCAAACAGAGCCCTACATGTACAGCGTAGAACTGATCCAGTCTTGAAGTTACCGTATTTTTCGCTCTATAAGACGCACCTGACCACAAGACGCACCTAGTTTTTGGAGGAGGAAAACAAGAAAAAAAATATTCTGAATCTCAGAAGCCAGAACAGCAAGAGGGATCACTGCACAGTGAAAGCAGCAATCCCTCTTGCTGTTCTGGCTTCTGGGATAGCTGTGCAGCCTGCATTCGCTCCATAAGACACACACACATTTCCCCATACTTTTTAGGAGGGAAAAAGTGAGTCTTATAGAGCAAAAAATGCGGTACTAATGCGTGGACTATTGTGGTGAATATATCCTGATCTTGGAATGCACAGGCCATCGTCAGATGATGAAAGATGTAGTCCAATAACTTTGTGTGTGTGTGTGTATGTGTGTGCATATGTTTCTTTGGTCAAACAAACTGATCATGGAAACTCACATGTCAAGCTTATGAGCCATTTAGGCTGAAGTGTGTATTAGAAGTAAAGTAGGAAAGACTTGTGTTACACCGACACGACCAGAATGGCAGAAGACATTTCCACCAGTACCGAACAAAGTGGACCTCTAAGAGGCTTCCTGGTCATTGACCGTATTAAAGATATTTGATTTGATTTGACCTCTAAGAGGTAGAGGTAAAGGGGGCGGGTGCGCACACGCGCAAGAGAGCAAGAAAGAGAAAACGAGTGCTATGATTCTCAGTGATCAAACAGAGGAAAGGGTGTCCTGTTTCTTCACACAGGGCATGGGTGGAGACCAAGCTGTAAGAAGGGAAGACCTCAACTTTCCAGAAGCTGGTACAGCCTAAGATAATGTATAAATAGTAACGCAAACACATTTTTTTTACTTTCTATGTGTTTTGCTTATATGTATTAGTGAAAGACTGTCACCTATAATTATTTGTATATTACCATGTGTTTATTGTTGCCACATTATTGAGATTTAAAATAGAATAAAAACATGAAAAAGAAAAGAAAAGTCACAACATTATTTCACTTTTCCTCATGGGAGCCTGAAAAACTCACCTGTTTGTATGCACATTCTTAGAGCTCTCATGGTGGAGACGGTTTGCTTTGAGACATGTTATGACTTCATAAGGGCATACAGTCGTACCTTGGATCCCGAACGCCCTGGAACTCGGACGTTTTGGCTCCGAAATGCCGCAAACCCGGAAGTGATTGTTCTGGTTTGCAAACATTCTTCTGGAACCCGAAATCAGACGGGGCTTCCGCAGCTTCTGATTGGCTGCAGGAGCTTCTGTTTGACTTCCACGGTACGACTGTACAGGCAAACTCCATGGCTTCAATAAGCAATCTTCTGTTGTTTTAAGCAAGAAACACCCCCCAAAAAACATTTTCCAACATATTTTGGGAAGGGGCGTGTGTGTGTGTGTACACTGCAGCTTATTTTGATGCCCCCCCCCTTTTAGTTAGGTTCACTCTTTGGCATTTTCTGCCTCTCAGTCCAGTCCTCCAAAAAGAAAAAAAAACTGGACTGGGAATTATCAGTTGAGTTGCATGACACACACACAAATGCACACATGCCACAAAGGGCTGAGAGATGTGCCTATGTGAATAGAGGTCGTGCTAGAAAACAAAAGCTTCCTCTGTGCCTCCGGAATATTCCACTACACAATGTCTGAAACACAAAAGTCACACGACTCCCATACCCAAACAACATTTAGAAATGCTATAACAGGGGTCAGCAAACTTTTTCAGTAGGAGGCCACTGTCCCTCAGACCTTGTGGGAGGCCGGACTATATATTTTTTTTGGGGGGGGAGAACGAATTCCTATCCCCCACAAATAACCCAGAGATGCATTTTAAATAAAAGGACACATCCTACTCATGTAAACACACGCTGATTCCCGGAACGTCCACACGCCGGATTGAGAAGGCGATTGAGCCGGATCCGGCCCCCGGGCCTTAGTTTGCCTACCCATGGGCTAGAAGGTGAAGAACTGTAACCCCCACTCAGAACCACCCCAAATCTCTTTGTATTTGTCCAACAGCTTTTGTTGAGAACAATTCTTGATGAAATATTTAATTTTATTTCAAGGGTTTTGGTGGTGGTGGTGGTGTTGTTTTCGCAGCATCCTCTATAACAATGTCTAGATCAACAGTTCTGTGTTTGTGGACCAAACATGAGATTCCCCGCCCCCCCTTTGACATGCTGAGCAGCAAAGCATTCACTCTGTTTAAATCTGTAGCACTGGCAACAACCACCTACTTGAAAAATGTCCTGAATCCACAGTCTCGGCTCACGGTCCCTGGCACCAGTGGCCAGATGGGAGCATTGAGTTCAGACTTAGAACAGCACATGGCAATTGAGATTATAAACAGCAGGTGGTGCTGTATTCCTATGACCTCTGGAGGAAGCCAAGCCTAAATGGATATATACACCCCCTATCCAATGTGAATGAACACGCTTCTGCAGAAATTTATCTCTCACAGCCATCTCACCTCTAGCAAAGCCGAGCTGAACTAAAATTAAATTGGCTCTTTCCTGCTAAGACTTTTCCCTCGTGGCAGGTAAGTCTGAAGTGCTAATTACCCACCCGGTCTGGTTTTCTACATACATCTGCAAGTGTAATCCAAAGAGCAACCAAAAACAATTAGCAACCTGGCTAAGAAGCCGGGAGTTTGCTTGGGAGAGAGACTATTTGAGAAAAGTAACACTAATAGGTTTCAGGTGCATAAAAAGGTACCTGGAGGAGGTCGTGGATTGTCTGCCATGGGCAAAAACAATGGGCGGAAGCTGCAGCCAGAAGGACTTAGGATTGACGCCAGAGTGTAGTGAGTGGTAGAACCCTGAAACAGGTTGCTTACAGGTGAGGGACCTTCCATCACTGGAGGTCTTTAAGGAAAAGCATACGTCTCTATTAGTTTGGCAGTGGCGTGCAGGCAGGCAGGGGCCTGCACTTGGCAGGTCCTCTGTATAGTGCTATTATGGGCTGCATTTGGCTAGGTGGGTCAAATGGTGTGAAGAAAAGCCTGTGCAAGGATGTTAACAGACTGCAACCACTAATCTCAGTCCACTAAGTTGTTATTTATCCTTTCTGAAACTGTCTGCCATGTTGGAGCAGATGTAAGAGAGAGAGAGAGGGGGAGAGACTTTGGATGCTAACTCAATGAAACTAGTACTTGTAACAGATCCTAAAATGCAGAGTCTCTCCAGTGGCATTCTAAAATGTAAGTCAGTTTAAAATTAAGCAAAGCACACTGGAAACCAAGCAGTCGCCCTTGCTCTGCAACCAGAAGGCTACAACCTGCCACGCTCACAATGGCTACAGGGAAAAGCAGGAGGACCTGCAGTATGTCGTGCCACTTTCTCAATGCAGCTCAGAGCTGGAACAAAGCTGCAAGGGAGACAGGATTCAGAGTACTGAGAAATCCATTGTAACCTTACAACTGCAGGACATGCATTCAGCTCACTGTTCCAAGTGGTCCTGGCTCTTGCAGCACTGATTTTGGGTAGTTTTTCCAGGAAGATCAAACACAGTGAATGCTGGAAAACAGGACGGGCATGGATGTGAGAGACAGGAGGGTGGCAGAGGCGCAGAGAATAGGCTGCATCTCTGGAAGTGGGGCCTGAAGACTCAGCTTTGAGACTGCAGCAGGCAGAGTCTTTTCCCCTCTCCAGATCTGTCTCACTGAGAGTAGCCATGTGCAAGGGCCCAATGAAGAGTCAGTGACAAAACGTTACAGGGGCTCTACCTGTATCTCCAAATCAGACCGTTCGGGCCAAAAATAATCAAGTGTTTTCACGGCATGTGATTTTGCATAATTTATTATACTCACAGTGAACTTGAGGATTGCAACTTCCGTAACTGCAAAAATTTGATTTTTGACCTACAGCAAACAAGTCATGTATATATGAAAAGAATAAAAATAAAGCGCTTTGTAAAATATGGTGATCAAGCTTTGGATACATACGCACATACTGTGATTATTTCCCTGGGGAAGCCCAAAAGCTTGCAATTTTATTGTTTTCGTTTTTGGCAGACTATATTCCAAGTGATCACCGTGGCTTTATGCAGAAGCCAGAGAGCCATGGTGTTTTGGTTAAAGCAACACGGGCGTGCACAGGTGCATGGGTGTGTTTGGGATGGAGGGGCTGGAGTAGCATTGCCCCTCCATCTACTGCGTTGCTGGTTGTGGACTCATTGTCTTAAGCCATCTACATTCCCCTATGGCAGCAGTGTGTGTGTGTGTGTGTGTGTGTGTGTGTGTTAGGAGGGGGGATCCTTTTGCCCCTTGGAACTCTTGATTCACCAGGCTCAGCCTTGTGCACTCCCTTCAAAATGTTCTGAACCATAAAGCAACAACAACAACAACGAAAGTCGGGACAGTCAGAGCAACGCCCTTCCAGGTATATAGGAGACACATCAAGATCTTGCTTTGATCACAAGGGAGACTCTTCCACTCGGTGCCATCACCTTCCTTCTCCCATCCACTCATCCATCTCCTTTGGGACATTGAGGAGAAACATCTGCCTCCTCTTGTCTCCTGTTGATGTCTGCTGAGAGTGCATCTCAACTGCGCCAAGTTGTTTCGCTTCCGTTTCTCTTCCAGTCCTTGGGCACCCAAGCCCCAGGAAGATGTCATTTCCGGAAAGCGAAGACCTCCCGTGTTTTCAGTCCCCTCCTGCTTTCGTTCCCTGGCTTGGGAGAAGGTTCATCCACCATGCCTCCATAAGGGCAGCTATCAGAGTCTGGGTGGTTCCCTGTACACTCCACAGCGGGGATGTAGCCACTGTCCCACATTCCTGTCCCGCAGAGTTTGCACAGGTCATGCAGACCGCAAGGGATCCGAGGCAGCAGGCGGAACTGATAAAGCAAACTTCTAGCCTGGAAGTAGGATGGCAGAGTAGATGTGAATACACAAGCCCACAAAACAGCACATGGCACAAATAGCAGATACGAGAAACTGCGGAGTTCATCTAAATTGCCCATCTCACACCCAAATCGTAACGGAGACTTGACACCACTCACAAAAGGAGAACACTGCACAGCCTTCCATATGCTGTTTTGGAGCAGATAGAATTGCAAAGGGTTTTTTGTCTGTCTGTCTGTTTGTTTAACACCTGCAATTTTAAATTTACCTTCCTGAGTATGAGCTCCCCATTCATGTGCATGGCCAGGTTCCCAAAGTGCAGAAGCATCTGGTCAGTGGCCAATTGCTGTTCGATGACATCGTCTCCATAGATCACCACAATAGCCACACAGATGAAGAGGTGGAAATAGTCTGTCTGCAGCAGCAAGAGAAGAAAATGATCAAGGGAAGGAGGGCTAGAAAGATGCACCGGTTGTGGCAACAAGATCACATTGGTAGCTTTTTGGCTTAAAAAAAAGCCAGTGAATGGGAGAATCGTAGAATTGTAGAAATGGAAGAGAGCCTGAGGGATCTAGTCCAACCCTTTCAATGTAGGAGCATGCGAAAGGTAATGGGAATTATAAATGATGTGGCAAGGTGAGAAGGAAAAGCTATTCACTCTCTCCCAACCACTGTTAGGCAGAAGTTTAAAGACAAAGGCAGCACTGTACTTCGCACAATGCTGTGGTACTGTTGTGTAGAGGTTAGAGCTTTGTTGTGTGATTGAAGAGAGTCAAGTTGAAATCCCCACTAGGTGGTCTAGGGGCAGTCAGTCACATGCTCTACCTTACAAGGTTGTTGTGAGGATAAAGTAGGAGGTGGAGAAATCATGTATGCCACCCTAATCTTATTAAAAGAAGCACAGGATGGCAACGCATTACAATAAATCTAGAGAGCTATACACTTTCAAAAGCAATGCAGAAATCTCTTGAATCAGGGCCACAGAGAAAGAGGAAGTCAAAACTAGTAAGGCAGACTGCAAATCCTGGCAGTCTGCCCAGTTACATGCATGAAATCTGGATGCATTCTGAGAGAACTAGTTGTTTACAAGACAAAAGCCTACAGTGTTGAAGTATATGAAATCTAGCAAGTCTGTAAGTTTTTTGACCCAAAGTTTTCACTTTGAAGAAGTAAAGGCATGAGAGGGAATATTATTTCTAGTAAAAGGTTTTCAAGTGAGCAACCAACAAATTAGGTACTGGATATGCTGCGTTAACACTTAATTTACAAAACGCTCCATTCTGAATAATTCTGCACACAGAATTAAGATCTGCTGCAGGGATATGCAAAGTTGTGCTCTCCAGATCTTGCCGGACTTGCATTCCCATCATCCCCGACTACTGGCCATATGCTGGCTAGAGATTATTGAGGGCTGGGAGTCCAGCAACTTCTGGAGGGCACCACGTTGGCTGCCTATGTTCTACTTGTTTAATACAATGAGTTTTAGGAGCACAGGAGTCTAAACCACCTGGCAAAGGGCGGTGAAATCGCTGCCACGAGGATTCAAAGCAATCTCCCCTCCCCCTTCCCAGACCACCACCAGAGAGCAACTATTTGGCAGAGAGTAATGCGAGCAAGCAGCATACGGCGAACACAGTTTGGTGGCAACCTCCTTTCCTGCAGACGAGACCAGGTCAGACAGAAACCATACGCTGCTCAGTCCTGGGGCTAACCTCACAAGGAAGTTGAAAATTAGCTTGCCTCTGTGTGTATGTGCGCGCGCCTGCCCTTCACACAGCAACATCCGCAGCTGGGAGAGAAAGCCAGGGTTGCAGCAACCCCACTGCACAAGGCAGGCTGAGGGCCGCTTTGGCTGATGGGTTGCGACAGCAGCAAGAACAGCCCAGGAGCTCAGTAATGAACCGTCAGGGTGAAATTTGCATCGATTTGTGTAATGTCAGAGGCAAACAGTGGGAGAGAAGGCAAGCAGTGTGGAGGGGGAGGGACACACACACACACACACACACACACACACACACACACAGAGCTCATCACAGTCATGGCTGGGGGAGGGGAGAGAGGCCTGGAAGGACAGCAGCTGCAACCGGCAACACCCCCCCATTCAGCATCCTCCAAGGAGCAGTGCAGGAGCCCCACCGACAAAAAGGACCCTTCTAACTGCCCCGCTCCTCCAGCCCCCTTTTAAACCTTACCTGGTAGTGAGCCCAGCAGGCTTCCCATATACGCAGAGCCTCAGCATCGGGAAACTCACGCTTAAAGCAGAGGAGGATCCAGCGGTGGCAGAAGAGCATCTGAAGGCCATCCTCCCCAAGGGAGACCAGGTGGTGGTAGAAGCGCACGTGCATCAGCCGCAGCAGCTCTCGCAGGTACATCTGGCAAAGTGGAAGGGGAACTCAGTTCAGCTCCGGAGAAGGGGAAGAAAACCCCGCTACTCCCCTCTAGACCACTGGGCATTCCTGCCCCCAAACCCCTCAGGCTCAGCAGGAGCAGGCACACCTCTTAAGAGCTGGTTCTATTGTTACTGTTATTGTTATAGTTATTGTTATTTGAATTTATATACCGCCCTATACCTGGGGGTCTCAGGGCGGTTCACAGAATAAAACTAATTCATTCACTAATGCAAGCAGTCCTATTAGGAGCACTGTATCCCTGGTGCTTCAGGGACGCGGGTGGTGCTGTGGGTTAAACCACAGAGCCTAGGGCTTGCCGATCAGAAGGTCGGCGGTTCGAATCCCCGCGACGGGGTGAGTTCCCATTGCTCGGTCCCTGCTCCTGCCAACCTAGCAGTTTGAAAGCACGTCAAAGTGCAAGTAGATAAATAGGTACCGCTCTGGCGGGAAGGTAAACGGCGTTTCTGTGCGCTGCTCTGGTTTGCCAGAAGCGGCTTAGTCATGCTGGCCACATGACCCGGAAGCTGTATGCCAGCTCCCTCGGCCAATAAAGCAAGATGAGCGCCGCAACCCCAGAGTCAGTCACGACTGGACCTAATGGTCAGGGGTCCCTTTACGTTTTTATCCCTGGTGCTAGTGGGTGCACTACTTATGGCCTCAATAGTCTGGTGGTTTTGCTGCTGACTATCAGGTCGGTCTGTAGAAAAACCATTTGATCGTGGATGAGTGGGGCTGACCTGGTGCCTATCACCAAGGCCTGAGTGGAGGTTGCTGGGATGGTTAGATCTGACTCAGGTCTACCTGTCCATGTACTCAGTGTGACATCACCTCAGACTGGTGGGATGGGGATAAGGGACGCATTGCTGCAGTCCACAAGGAGTTAACTTCTCCCTATCCCTTCGAGTGGGACTGGAAGGTTGCACCTGGTATTGGGAGACAGCTTGCAAATGCTGTTGGTGTAGTTCCCACCCTGATGCCCCAACAGCCTCCTTGACCAAGCTTATCTTGGGTATGATGTTGGAGGAACCCAGAACGGTGGTTTTAGGTGACCAACATCCATGCTGAGGTTGCCTTGGGTTGCCAGCTCATGAGTTCAGGGCCTCCATGGCAACTGTTCCTCACCCCACTGCCACTTGTGCTATGGGGTTCTGAAGGGTAATATCCTCTTCCCAGTGTCATTTCACATTTACACGAAGCTGTAGGGAGCAGCCATTTGGAGCAATGTGTCACCAGTACAGTGGTGTCCCGCAAGACGAATGCCTCGCAAGACGACAAACTCGCTAGACGAAAGGGTTTTTCGTTTTTTTGAGCTGCTTCGCAAGACGATTTTCCCTATGGGCTTGCTTCGCAAGACGGAAACGTCTTGCAAGTTTGTTTCCTTTTTCTTAACACCGTTAATACAGTTGCGACTTGACTTTGAGGAGCAACTCATAGCACGCGGTGTGGTAGCCTTTTTTGAGGTTTTTAAAGACTTTGGTGATTTTTGAAGCTTTTCCAAAACTTTCCCGACACCGTGCTTCGCAAGACGAAAAAAATCGCAAGACGACAAAACTCGCGGAACGAATTAATTTCGTCTTGCGAGGCACCACTGTATATCCTACATGTTGGATACAGCACCTCCTCCTCCTTGCAGCTACTACAACTTCCTCAGGTAAGTTCATCCATCATGGATGCAGATTTCACATTTCTGATTCATTTAGGATTTAAAGGGCAAATGGAGTGCGGAGGAGGAAGAAAAGAGATAAATAAGGTGGGCGGGGGGAGAAGAGTGTTCCAAGGTCAAATTCTCACCAGTTGTTTCTCCATATCCTCATCACGAGGGGAACTGATGAAGATCGTGTTCTGCATCAAACCCACAAAGCACCAGAATGTATCCGATTCATCCAGGACCTCCGTGAGAAGTGGGGCAACAAGGTCAGACATCCCCTGGGAGTAGCCAATGGCAGGGTTGTAGACTGCATAGTTCAGCAAGATCCGCCTAGGAAGAGGATGGTCAAATGACCAGACGGTGAGGCTGGGATGGTGGAGCAACCCAGAGAGGCCTGAGCATGTACCCTCCAACATTTCTCCAATGGAATTAGGGACCTCTTATTCCATAATAATAATTTTACTACTTATACCCCGCCCATCTGACTGGGTTGCCCCGGCCACTCTGGGCGGCTTCCAACATGTATAAAAAATATGATAAAACATTAAACACTTTTTTAAAATCCCTATACAGGGCTGCCTTCAGATGGCTTGGGGGTTGGATAACTCCATACCCTCTCTAATATTTATCCGATGAAAGTAGGGACATCCTACCATACCCTCCAACATTTCCAAGATGAAAATAGGGACGTCCTAAGGAAAAGTGGGACATTCTGGGAGCAAATCAGAAACCGGGACGGCTTCTGTAAATCTGGGACTATCCCTGGAAAATAGGGACACTTGGAGGGTCTGTGAGCATGCTCAGTGGGCACAGAATGCTGACTCGCTGTTAGGGTGGGTGGGGGATGGAAATGAGTAGAGCAGAGTGGCAATGGGCATGGTTGGCTGGCAACATGAAAAGGAGCACTCCATACTACAATATTGTTGCAGGCTCCACCTGCTTTGCCCGGCCCACCTTTGAAAGGGTTTAGCTGGAAGCGTATGAGGTTGGGTGTCCAAAACACAGATGGATCTGGGCTTTCCAAGTGGGTGCAAGGTTCTCAGTGTATTTTGGGGGGCACTAATGGGTTACAACAATCACCTCATTGTTTCCACGTTGGGGTTGTTCTCTCCTCGGAAAAACTGGTTACTGCGGTCCGTCCTCACCACATCTTTGTCAACCGTGAACTGCACATTCCGCCAGAATGCCTTCTGCTCCTCCGGTGTCAGGGAGAGCCTAGGCGCCACATTACAACATGAGTGCACTCCCAAACCACCCACTGCTGCCAATGGACATAGCTGTCAACTTTTCCCTTTTCTTGCAAGGAATCCTATTCGGAATAAGGGAATTTCCCTTTAAAAAAGGGAAATGTTGACAGCTATGCCAATGGACCTGGGAGTACTTTCAGGTAAGGGTCAAAATAAAGGAGATCTGGGGCAGTTGGGGAGGACAGAGCAGTTGCCTCTCTTCTGTATACGTCCCACCCAAAATGTGACATTGGACCTACTGTGAAGGTTCATTTTCTGGGGATAGTTAATTCCCCCTTCATTGTTTCAATTGCCAGGGGAGGGAGGATTTAAAAGAAGAATGGCTGAGGAAGGGAGGGTGGGGAGAAAGAGGCATCTCACTCACACACACACACACACACACACACACACACAACTGGGTATGGACCTGCTGGATTCAAAGTCCCCTCCATTCCCCTGAGAGGCAGAAGGACTAAAGTCCTTACACTTGCAGGAAAATGTGATGTGCTGACTCCCTCACCCTCCCCATCCTAACCCTCCACACAGCAGATCTGGGGTTTAGGACTGAGGTTTACAGAACAAAGTAGTTCAGCATTTATAAAAGTAATTAAAAGAAAGAAAGAAAGAAAACATGTAAACCTTGAAAGTCTGGAGTTGGAGCCACTGCCACCCCTCATTACCTTTTCTGCTGGATCTCAAAGTATTCCTCTCTCTTCTGCACTCGGAGCGCCTCCCTCTCCTCTGAAGTGGATTCATAGCTGTAGTAGCGCAACAAGAAAGGCCAGACCTCACCACGGATGGAGACATCGATCCCACCAAAGAAAATAGCCTGGGGAGGAAGGGAGGGCAGAGGGGAAATGATAAAGAGGTTGCAACAGAGGAAAATGCCACAGTTTCTGAAACTGGACCTCTTTTGCTCTCCTCCTCTGACAAGTGACGCCTTGAGATTCAGGAGCCCCACAATCTGCACATGTTTAGAGGGAAAGCAGAGCCCCCCCCCCTTTTCCCAGGGGAGACACAAATCAAACTCATTTCAATGTCAATAACCCCCCTGGAGAGGCTATACAATTAACACATCATTCTCACGTCACTGCTTAATCCCCAATCTTGGAAACTTCACACTTGGAGCCAGACTCACATACCGCCTCCCCCACCCCAAAGCCCTTAATTATTTTAAAGCCAGACAGTCTCAATTGCTTTTATAGGCCTTCACATACTGTGCAAGCACCCCTAGAAATGCTCACTGGTCTTCATGTCCCAAACTGCTGGGCAATCAATGCAGCAACAAACCAGAGATCCAGAGAGTTGCTACGTTAGCCTGCAGGGAGCTGACAGGTGCTGCCTCCCCGTTGCCAAAGGCTGGGAAGACGTGCAAAGGTTCCTGGAGGCCAAATAAGCACAACTGCTCCACGCTCCACTTGGGAGACCTTTCTTCTCTTGGAACCAGCAGAGCAAAACATGCCACTGTGTCTTCTCTCTCACCTTCCTCAGCTTGTACTCTTCTTCTACCTGCCCAGCCTCATTTAGATGATGGAGCCACGCAGAGACATCCAGGCGCTTGTAAGCGTTCTCCTCTGGATGGGTCTCCGAGGAGGGCAGCTTGGGCCTTCGGATGGAGAACTGCATGCAGGTCTTCACGTCAGTGAGCTGCTAATTGGGAGACAAAACCAGGACAGAGGGCTAGAGCAATAGCTGCAGGAGCCTGACCTCCCATTCCCATGGCTTGGACATCTTATATCCAGGTCGCCACAGCGGAAAAAGAAGATGATTTTTGTCTGGAGAGAGACTGTCCTGGGAGGGCGGCAAAGCCTTGGAAGTTTGGGGAGACTTCCAGCCCAAGCCAGCAAGCGTAATTGGGAGTAATTAAGGATCAGAGCGACATGACGCACTGCTTGGTTCGGCTGGCTGCCTTTCCCACCCTCCCCTGCCCAAGATCAGAGCTAACACGGCTTGCAGCAATATCGTGAGCCTGCCCAGGAATGCACGCAATAAATTACATCTGATTGGCCACATACAAAAGGGCTGCTGTTACGAAGGAGAGAAGGCAGCGGTGCCAGGCTCTCCGAGGACGCTTGCCATTCCTGGGTGAAAACTGCAGCTGACATTTAATTTAAAAATCAAAAGGTTACTCAACACAGATGGAAGCCCCCGTGGTACTATAATGAGGGGAAAGCAGCAGGGGAAGAAGTGGGGAGGGGGGCTGGGGAGAAGGAAGGGAATGAAGAAATCACTGTTTCTAACAAGCATCTCTAGTATCTTTAAACATATAATTACGGCCTTTGCAAGGCCTTTGTGCAGAATGAAGCAAGATATGCCAATAGGCCTTGTCAAAACATCATTTGAATACAGACGGCTAGAAGTCATAGACTGAACACTCAGCACAAGCCTAATTGCAGAGACAGGATGGGCAAGTCAGGACACTTGCTGCATCCTGGACTGGAGTTCAAATTCCACCCGATCTGTGGACTCACCCTGTGCTCATACTGGACACATAACGCACAGAAGAGAACCCTGAGAGAATTAGATCTGTGGTTTCGCCGTTTATATAAACAGCTGGCCTATTTTATAAGGCTGCCGCAGGCCACAAGAAGCAAAGGAAATGAAACGAGGCCCAAATCTTCTAGTTGCAGAAGAGGTTTATAAAGGCGAACACTCTGCCCAATAAAGCAAATCCTCCGTTATTCGAAACTCCTGTTTGGCTAAAATTTCTTAACCCAGTGTCACCTTGCCAGGAGCTTACATAACCTACGTAAGCCTGCTCCTCGTTAATCCCCAATATTGGATTAAACAAATACTTTGGATGGCCCCCTTCTCCAGCAAGAGAAAGAACAAACCAAGGGAAGTGCATCACCAGTGTCTACAAACCCCTGGCAGCTCTTCAGACAAGCAGGGAAGCTGGCCTGCCAGCAAGAATGGGGCACAGCCCCACCAACCTCAGAAGAAGAAGAAGAGTTTGGATTTGATATCCCGCTTTATCACTACCCTAGGAAGTCTCAAAGCGGCTAACAATCTCCTTTTCCCTTCCTCCCCCACAACAAACACTCTGTGAGGTGAGTGGGGCTGAGAGACTTCAGAGAAGTGTGACTGGCCCAGGTCACCCAGCAGCTGCATGTGGAGGAGCAGAGAAGCGAACCCAGTTCACCAGATTACGAGTCCACCGCTCTTAACCACTACACCACATTGGCTCTCAGCCAGGCAGCCATCCAGCCCTTACCTGCCTTGCCTTCTTACTTTCAACCAGTCGAGGGGGAGGAGGAAAGGGATAAAACTAGAATTGGTTGGCTCTGTTACTCATTCATTCACTTATAATAGTATTTATAAACTGCCCTCCCAGAAAACATCAGCAACGTACAAAAGCCTGTAAAGGCAGTACAAAATAATCTTCTCGATCTTCTTCTTTTTTAACCTGTCAGCACACACACACAAAAAAACAAAATATAAAAGGAAGGCTGTCTGCTGAGTCTCTGCCAGAAGAGTGATCCACAGCATAGACTGGCAGCACTGAATGTTTGACTTCTGGATGCGGCCAATTGGGCCTCTGTAGCACAGGGGCACAACTAACCTCCCTCCTCCAGAGTGATATAAGGTATTCTGGACCCAGGTTGCCCAAGGCTTTGCATATCAATACAAGAGCTTTGAACCTGGCCTGGTAGGTTAGCTCTGGCTCTATCTACTGTTGGCCTCTGAGCCTTCCAGGGCACTTGCCACCACTTTTCCAGACATGTCAGAAACAAGAAGAGATGCTGCTCACATTTCTTCATTTCTAGCTAGAAATCCACAGACCACATCTACTAGGGGTAGAGAGGGTGTGTGGAGGCTCCCCAGGTCTACTCTGGACTTTACAGCTTACCTGGTCTTTGAGATGGGTCTCTGTGCAGTATTTCCATTGCTGAAACACTTCGGAAAGTTTATCCAGGCCGCCGTGGTGAAAGTGGAAAATCTTGTACTGACTTTCCCTGCTGGCAACAACCAGCTGCCCACTGGTGCATGCCTCATCACTGAAGGAAAATGGTGGAGGGACCGGGAAAGAAAAGAGGGAATATGTAGTTAAGAGCACAGTTTACTGGTCGGAACATCTAGGGGGTGGGACGTTGTTCAAATACAGATAGCGCAAACAACATTTGTGAGTCCTGCGTGCATGTTGCATGGCTGGGCTGAGAATATATACAGCACCCTTCCAAAGAAATGTGAACCGCGCTACACAATCTAATGCAGTTTAGGCACCTCTCATTGAAGCATATGCTTTCTTAAGACTCAAAAACCAAACCAATTTAGGGAGCATTTCCAGGAATCAGAAGTCTGTGCCTTGCATCGACAGCCATCTTTTTCTACATCATTTCCCAAGCTTCAAGCACCCCAATTCCTTCCTCCTCCATTGCACTCTCTCTCTCTCTCGGTCCCCCCTTCCCCATAGAATGTATCTGCAAGGACCGAAATGGCAAGTTCTCTGAAAACTCCAAACTGCAATCAAAATGAATTATGCAAATCATCTGACCTTAGTTTGCATAATATATTCTGAGCACATACTTTGCTTCCCCCCTCTCCTCCCCCCCACCCCGGGTGTAGAGGTTGCTTTTCATTTTCATTTCGCCCCCTGCAGAGCACACACTGCTCTGATTATGAGCTTTCATGGCCCAATTGGCGCTTGTGAGGTCTCACAGTGCAGAGAACACTGCACTTTTCTTGGTACCCAAAAAAAGATTGGGGTGGGTTTTTTTTTGTTTTTTTTTGCTTACATCTGGCAGTACTTACCAGGTTGTTTATGGTAATCAACCAGAGTCCTGGTATGCTAGGCACTGTACAAACAAAAGCAGTATCAGGTGGAACAGTGCCCCCCCCCCACAGCCAGTAGATTGTGAAGGCCTAGGCAAAGGAGTCGGCTGCCAAGACCAGTTTGCTTCTCAAATGAACTCCAGGACTCATGGCGTTAATCAGCAGTGGCTAACCTTTTCCAGCCCAAGGGATGTTCAGCCACATGCCACCAGTGGGTATGGCCAATGTATATACATACACACAAAAATATCCTGCACAGGCAGAGACCACACACTCACACATTCCCCACATAAACAACGCACACTCACCGGACAGGCACAAAGCCCTCTCTCTCTCTGTCTTTCTCACACATACATAAAACACTGAATGTGTTATAATAAATAATATAACCCTCCCCCACAACCAAGAACCCCAGCTTTCCTTTGTAACTCCATGTCCTCTAGTCCTCATTGTTATTCATACACCACTTGGAACTGTAAAAACCAAAAACAGGAGCTAAATAACAGAGGCAGCTCAAGGACTGAAATGGAGGAAACAAACAAAGCTAGCTTGTCAAGGGCTTCCAACCTTTCATCGCTTCATGTCAACGTTGTTCTATAAATCAATACACATTTCAGATACAGTGGTACCTTGGTTCTCGAACGGCTTAGTTGTCAAACAAATCGGCTCCCGAATGCTGCAAACCTGGAAGTAAGTGTTCAGGTTTGCGAACGTTTTTTGGAAGCCAAACGTCCGATGAGGCTTCCGCTTGAGTGCAAGAAGCTCCTGCAGCCAATCAGAAGCTGCACCTTGGTTTTCGAACGGTTTCAGGAGTCGAACAGACTCCCGGAAGGGATTAAGTTCGAGAACCAAGGGACCACTGTATTTAGCTATCTGTGTATTTGTGGATTCAGGTAGGCAGCGGTGTTGGTCTGACGGAGTCGAAATAAATAAAAAAGATACTGAAGAAGTGTGCATACCCAGAACAAATGTAGTTGGTCTCTAAGGTGCTACTGGAATTTTTTTTATTTATTTCAACTTTGTATTTGTGGGCAGCAACAGCAGAAAAATAACCCTCATATTGTATCTGACTGTATGTTGCATTGTTATTGGGGGTTTCATTGTTAAATTGTGACACATTTGTTGAAAATCTCCCTTGGAATGATGTGTACCTGCTATAAAGGCAGGATTTATTTTTTTTAAAAAAAGGGAAAACTTATATAAATAAATAAATGCTGTATAAGTGTAACAGCTGTCATGTTTATGAAAATTATATGCAAATCCTGTTAATTTACCTGTGATTAATAGGATAATTAGCCATAGCCCTTCAGCTCTCCCCGTTCTAAATGAAGAGACTTCCTCTTGTTCCCCACCCCCCATCCCACTTGGTAGCCTGAAAAGGAGCTGAATTTTATGGAATAGAAGAAATGCATACTTCCTGTTTACACAGCAAAGACCCTAGAAAAACTTACGCTCTCAACAGTTACAGGCCCTAAAAATCAGAACCAAAGAGGAAAGAGGATGTGCAAAGAGGCAATTTAGTGAGTGAGCTACAGAATATACAAAATATGATGTAAGCAGGAGTGAGGAACCTGTGGCTGTCCAGATGTTGTTCGACTGACATTTTCATTGCCCTCAACCTTGTGCCATGCCGGCTGGGGCTGGGCAGTTGTGAGTCCAACAATATCTGGAGGGCCACAGGTTCCCTATGCCTGGTGTAAGGCCAAGGGAGTGCCTCAAACGCAGTGGGACACATGGTTTGGCTTAGTGTTAACATGCCCACGAGGTCTCTGAGTGAGCTTGGTTTAGTCACTATCTAATGCTACCTTACACACTTATCTGTGAGAAGAAAATGGGATAATCCCATACATACCGCTCATCTGGGGTGCCAATGTCATAAACACCTTACTGCAACAATTCGGTGCAAAACCACACACTTTAAACTTTAAATCCATTTTCAGCGGGATTCTGTAAGTGGGTTCAAAACACTATGGCGAGTGCTGTGGCTTGGGGAAGTGGTTTGAGTTACTTCCAGAGGCCTTGGTGGCTGAAGCACTATGAACAAATATGCCGTAAAAAGGCATGCAGAGGCTTAGGCAAGGGCTTAAAGGCCAGGCTTCATCGCACTGCTCTTTGCCACTGGGAAGGAAGCTCTTTTTCATGAATTTACATTGAATGAACAGGACTGTACGGACGTACATTTCAGATGCCATAAACTGAGCACGTTCCAAGATTTCCAACTGGTGTATAAAGTAGGTGCATGCCCATATTTATGTCCCATAATTCAGTGTCAATTTTCATCTATTCTATACTATACTATACTATACTATACTATACTATACCCATTAAAGGTCCAGAGGTAGAGCATGCAATTTGCATAAAAAAGGTCTCACGTTCAACCCCATGTCTAGGAAGGAATCCCCGAAACCCTGGAGGGTTGCTTCCAATCAATGCAGACAACATCAAGTGGGGTGAGCCAATGATCTGATTAGGTGTAAGGCAGTTTCCTTTTTTTTTTTTTAGTGTTTGTTTTCACCTTTCATTTATTTCCTATGCTAAGGCCAATGTTAGAAACTGAGATATGAAAGCTAGGAGCTAAATGGCACACCTTAATCCTAGTTATGGGCGCAACAACGGAATGTCTAGGCACGCTTTTTTATAACCAGAATGCAAAGCTGAAAATGAATGAACTGCAGCTAAAACATTATGTTCATTTTTCACATGGTCTAGTCCAGGCATGGCCAAACTTGGCCCTCCAGATGTTTTGGGACTACAATTCCCATCATTCCTGACCACTGGTCCTGTTAGCTAGGGATGATGGGAGTTGTAGTCCCAAAACAGCTGGAGGGCCAAGTTTGGCCATGCCTGGTCTAGTCCTTCCCCTGCCCACCCCCCTAATATTCTTAAGAGGGTCTCTTTTCCAGTCTTCAGAGAGTAGCTGGAAGTGGGGAGGCAGAAAAGGGTCCTCCTTTTCTTCCACTCTGCAGTTTTTGTCTGAAATCTTAGGCGCAGTACTGTGCCCAGAGCTCAGAAACAGCTCGCGCTAATGAAATTCCCTGTCACAAAATGTGCCTAGAACAATGGGAGTTTCAAACACTGGCTAAGGCTACCTTCCTCCTTTCAGTGTAAAACCATTATTTCCTCAAGTTATTCAATGCGTTTTGCCTTGGGGTTTAAGAAACAAAAGGAGTTTCCTTCTGGGTTCATGCTCCAAAATGTTTCAGGCTCTCTTAGGTAGCCTGGGGAGTCTGAACAGATCAGGATGGAAAAGTTAGGTTTCCATAAGCTCAGGCATCTTCCCTAGCAGCTATGTTCTCCCAGGGCTCCACAGCTACCTGAGCATGAAGAGAAAGAGTGGTGTGTAACCTTCAGCCAGACTGAAAGACTATGTTCGTTCAGTTTGTGTCACAAGAAAATGGTATGTGGCAACAGTTTTATAATACCTTCACTGCCTCACATTTTAAACCTTTCCTTTGAAACCATGGTACAGTGGTACCTTAGTTTACGAACTTAATCCGTTCTGGAAGTCCACTCTTAAACCGAAACCATTCTTAAACCGAGGCGCGCTTTCCCTAATGAGGCCTCCTGCCACCGGTGCCCTTCCATCATTCGGCTTCTGTTCTTAGACCGATATAAAGTTCGCAAACCGGGACACTACTTCCAGTTTTGCAGAGTTCGTAAACCAAATAGTTCATAAACAGGGCTGTTCTTAAACCGAGGTACCACTGTGGAGGTGGAGGGGGAAATTGGAACAGAAGCAAATTCCCAGGCTAAAATTACATATTACCTTGGCAGACATCCATGTTTGCTGAGGTAATGTGTAGCCCCAGCCTCAGGAAGCCAAGTTTTATGCAAGTTATGGATTCCAAGCTGGGTAGGAAGAGCCACTTGTATAGATATATAGAATCTGGCCTACTACTAAATCACCACATTATATATTTTTGCTAGCCCAGTAAAATCCCCTCTCAAAAAAGGTGGTGGGAGTGGGAAGAAATAGACAGTAAGTCTTGGCTCACTGGTTCAGAATGCATAGAGGATGTACAGGTAATCTGCTGTCTGAAAGACGGACGCAGAGGAGCACACCTGATACCATTAGAACTTCCTAGGTGGGCTTCCACTCAGAGAACAATGAAAGATGGAAATTCACCCTGGTCCTGCTGCCATGTCACTCTCCTAGGTAACAGGGCAAGGGAAGGCATGTCAGACCATCTCCAAAGGAATTATCCTACCTGAAAAACAGGCGAAGAGACCGCATCTGTCCCAGGTCAACTCTGAAGACACCACAGATCTGTTCCAAGGCAAACACCTTCTGCTGCTCATCCCACCGGGAGGTCTGTACTTGAACGTTATTCTCTTGGAACTGGGAGTTGGGATCAAGGCTTGAGTTGGAGCTGGCTGAGCGAGTCATGTGGCTTTCGCACGGTTCGCTACACCACCATGAGAGAGTGGCACCAAAAGAGGAAGAAAGGAAGAAGGCAGGAAAAATTACCTGAAAATTACTAACTGCAAGAGCCAGTGCGGTATAGGAGCTAGAGGGCTTGATTTTGATGTGGGAAACAGACTCAACCCCACTTGGCTATGAAGCTCACTCTGTGGTGTTGGGCAAGCCATCAACTCAGTCTAACCTTTATCCATTGCTGCAAGAATAAAATGCTCTGAGCAAAAGAAAAAGAAAGCTGGAAGTATAAAAAAAAACGCCAACTGTTTTCATTAAGCTTCACTTAATCAGAAGGCACAGCATTCCCCAAGTTGCAAAGTGGCATTAGAGAAAAGTCCAAATTTGTGTGCATGTTTTTTCAAGTCAGTAACCCTAATGTCTCACTCTCACTTCAGCAGGTTTATGAATTCCCAACAGGCAACACTGGTTGGCCAACACCAGCTTCAAACCAATGTCTGTGCTTGATTCCCAGATAGGGCTGGTGAGCGGAGCAGGTAGGTTTCCTCAAAGTGCAACAATGCTGAGAGGACAATATTTAAAAAAAGAGAGAAGCAAGCAATGTTTCAAGCATGCTGGCCAAAGTGGAAGCAGCTAAAAGGCTTGTGGCTCCTGTGCTGTGAAAGGACTTCGGGAAACCACTTGACTCTGAGTTCCATTTCTGCCAGACCCACTGGGTGGCCGGGCACTGACCCTCTCTTGACCACAGCTTCCAGTTTGTAAAACAGATGCAGCAGCCTCTCTCGCAGGGCAAAGAAAAAAACCGTTAAGCACTTTCTACATCAGTGTCAGCCTGTCACATGAACATGTGAATGTAGCAAGCTGCCTTATACAGAACCAGGCCGCTGGTCTATTTAGCTCAGTACTGCAATATTCACCCTATCAATGGAACCCTGAAGTCTTAAGCAGAGGTCCAGACCTGTTACCAAAGACATTTTGTTGTCGTTGTCATTATTATCACCACCTTTTCCCTGATTGTTCCAATTTTGTTGTTGTTGTTTTGGGGGGACACCCATTTTAAAGGCATCACTGTTATCACCTTTACCTCTGCCTGGTCCGCAGCATGGATTGTTCCAAAGTTGTTTGGGGAGAGTCAGCACAGTGAAAAGGCAGAAGCATAATCCCTGTTCTCTTCTCATACAGCCCTAATTTTGAGAAGCTTGCAGATGATAGTCAGCCTTAAACATCATACCAGTATGAGCCAGTATTGTTCGAGTCAAGCTCATTTTATGCATTTTTCATGTATTTTCCTTGTGTTTGTATTCTATTCTTTTCCATTCCCTAAAGATCTTTTTTTTAAAAAAAAAACACTCGCCAGCCAGAATTAAGAATGGGATGTGTGTGTGTCTCTGTGTGTGTGTGTATCTGTGAATGTATGACTGGCTGTAGTAATTCAAAATTATTTCTGCATTCAGTTATCTTTATTTTCCAGCTCTATTCCACAGCAGCAAACCAGCAACAGGGGGAACATAACAACCAAGATTTAACTGTGTCCAGAAAAGAAGGGAGTTTTCCAAACATTTTTTGTGAACCAAAAACAAAACAAAATCAACACCTGAACATATTTTTTCCATATTTGAAACATTTTATGTTCCCAGCTCTTTTCTTTTTCTGCTCTTTTGCAGTCAGCAGCTTTTTAGTGCTAAGCCACACCTTTGGCAGTGGGAACCTTCTCAAATTCCAAAAGTGCCCCCCAGACCCAAAGAGGTTGGCGACCATTGCTCTAAAATCTCTTCCCAAGCAGGCCTCTTCTATTTATACAAATATACTTCAAATGGCTAGCATACAAACAGTAGTATGGATAGCTCAGTTGGTTAGAGTGTGGTGCTGATAATGCCAAGGTTACAGGTTCGATCCCCGTATGAGACAGCTGCATATTCCTGCATTGAAGAGGGCTGGACTAGATGACACTCAGGGTCCCTTCCAACTCTATGATTCTATGATTCTACTGGCTGTTCTGTGGTAGAAAAAGAACCTTGGAAGGGAAAGGGCTTTAGGTCCTTTAATCACAGAGAAATGTTTGGTAGTGACATTGGCCACATTTCTCCAGAAATAACAGGAATGAAATTCCATAGTCTGCATGTATACATTCTGCAGACAAAAACCACCTACTTCCCATCACATCTCAAATTGAAATATATGCAAATCAGAAGACACACTAACCCTTTAGAGGAACCATTTCAAATGTAAGAATAACTCCCTGCTTATATCGTGGCATATTTCCCTCAAACGAATAGTCAAGGAACAGGATTTCAGCACCCTTACTCTAGGAATGCAAAATACGATACCACATAGAAACTCAGCTGGTAGCATCACACATCTCATTTTTAGACAAAGTGGCTGCACAGCTGTTTAACCACAAAATACTAGGGACAACAAGCCAGACAAAGCTTTTCGGCATGTTAAGCAACTGAACTCAGGAGATATATTGCCCCCCAAATAGGGTCCGGATTTCAGAAAGTAACCCCTTCCCTCCCCTATGAAATCATCCTCCCTCCTGCCCCAAGAAAAACAGCAGTGCTCTGGGAAATAAGTGAATCTGAAACTGTGACCTCTGAGATCTTGAAAAGGCCAATCCATTTGAACAGCCTGAATGGGCTCTACTGTGAAATCATGGTTTGCAAAACAAGGCAAGGAGCAGGTATAAAAGCAGCCCCCTGAAAAGCCACTTTATGCAGTGTTTTCTAATCCGCTTATTGAACAATGTAGGCACTGAACGCTGAAGAAATCACACACTCAGCATGCCTGTGCAGAACATCCCCACCAGCATGCTTTCCTATCCTGAAAACAGTGCCCCCCAAACCAGGGCCACAGACTGAACTAGACCACTGGAAGAGCCTTATTTTTAGCATTCACCAGTGGTTTGGGTCATTGCATTCCAATACACATTCCCTAGACAGCCAAGCTGAGGGCTCCATTGTTAACAGAGCCCCCTCCCCTGATGTGCAGGAGAGACCAAGTTCAGCAATACAGCTTGAAGTCAGTTTCTCTGTCTGTGTACTCTCTCTCTCTCTCTCTCTCTCTCTCTCACACACACACACACACACAGTAGAGCCCAATGATCTACTACCAGAAACATTTCAAATTTAAATACAGTCATACCTCACGTTATGTTTGCTTCAGGTTGCATGTTTTCAGGTTGCATCCTGCGATGACCCGAAAGTACCAGAAAGGGTTACTTCCGGGTTTCGCCGCTTGTGCATGCGCAGACACGCAAAATGACATCACGCGCATGCGCAGAAGCAGCGAATCCCAACCAGCGCGTGCGCAGATGCAGGTTGCGCTCCTTTCAGGTTGCGAACGGGGCTCCAGAACGGATCCCTGCTTGCAACCAGAGGTACCACTGTACATGCTAATTCTTTAAACAGAAATATTCTAACCATCTCCAAATTTGCTTTTAAGTTCTTTTATTTGCACATCTTCAGTGATCATAGATAAGTAATTCACAGCTGTTTGGGCTCTCCGTTTCTTGGGTCTCCTGCCTCCCAAGCTCTCTCACCCTTTTTTTTTTTTTTTTTAAAGCAATTTATTGGATTTTACAATAGGAATAAATGTAATAAACAATATAACATTCGTCTTAACATAATTTCACATTTTCTTTGGACTTCCTCACATCTCCCGCTCCCACCTTCATCATTATAACATTTTGTCAGCAATTTATCATCTTATTTAAATTCTTATATCTCTTCGATATTTCATGATCTTATAGTTCTCATAAAGAGTTAAACTTTCACAGTTTTTCTTATTTTCTTAAAAACTTCTAAGTTAAGTGGTGCTCAGTTATTTAGTCTAGCATCTTATTCAGCATTCAGTCAAATCACAATGTTTTTGTAGGTAGTTCTTAAATTTCTTCCAATCCTCCTCGATTCTCTCTTCTCCCAGGTCACGGATTCTGCCAGTCATTTCAGCCAGTTGCATATAGTCTATCAGTTGCATCTGCCATTCTTCCAGTGTGGGTAGATCTTGAGTTTTCCAATGTTTTGCGAGTAGTATCCTTGCTGCTGTTGTTGCATACATAAAAAAATGTTTGGTCCTTCTTTGCCACCCCTTGGCTGACAATACCCAAAAGGAAAGCCTCTGGTTTCTTAGTGAAAGTATATTTGAATACCTTTTTCAATTCATTATAAATCATTTCCCAGAACGCCTTCACTTTAGGGCAGGTCCACCAGAGGTGAAAGAACGTTCCTTCACACTCTTTACATTTCCAGCACTTGTTATCAGACAGGTGGTAAATTTTTGCGAGTTTGACTGGGGTCATATACCATCTATAAATCATTTTCATTACATTTTCTTTCAAAGCATTACATGCAGTAAATTTCAATCCATTACTCCACAGCCTTTCCCAGTCCTCAAACATAATATTATGCCCAATATCCTGTGCCCACCTTATCATAGCCGATTTAACCATTTCATCTTGTGTATTCCATTCCAACAGCAAGTTATACATCCTTGAAAGTATCTTAATCTTTGGTTCTAACAATTCTGTTTCTAATTTCGATTTCTCCACCTGGAACCCTAGTTTCTTATCATTTTTAAAAACTTCTTTAATCTGAGCATAATGTAACCAATCTCGCACTTTGTCCGTTACCCCCACCTCAGCTCCACCATTTCTGCCCCATAAAAAAGAGGTTTTCCTTATTTCAAAATGACTTCTGTCTCACAGAAACTGCACCTATTATCAAAACTATGCAACAGACAGAAGCAAAATCAACACATCTGTTGAACATTCTGGCACAGAACAGCAGCTCAGCGACTAGCTAGGTGGGGAGTGGAAATAGCGTAACAGCTGTTCCTGCACAGGTCCATCTTTTTAAAATCCACTACCCACAAGTCCTCAAGATTTCTGGAAACTTAAAACTCAAATCTTATTTCATTCTGAATGCCCTGGGGAAACCACCATCTTGACTCCCAAAGCAGCTGCGAGACTGAGCAGATCGCATACTGGAAAGAGCAGTTAACTTGGTCCAAACAAGCAAAATATAGGCCCAGAATCCTGTTTTGTTAGGTAACCATGGAAGAACTGGTGATCTGCCTTTTGTCAGAAAGACTGAAGAAGACAGGTGAAGGTAAGAGAAGAGCTTACTTCCTTGGGGAGCCCAACAGAAGAGTTGGGGTGAAGGATACATACTGAATTTTCCCCAAAAGTATTTCAAGGCTAGGGTACAACTACCTTCCAAAACAAAGAACATTATTAAAAATTTAAAAATTAAAAAGTGACCATGGAAGCTGTGAAGGATAGGGGCAGCTTACTCACTCCAAACTAGTCTGTGCTGCTACATCAACTAAGCTAACTTTCTCAGTTTGCAAAGATTCCATATTCAAAGTAGCTGGTAAGTCATTCAGATGTTTTCTTCGTTGCTGGCCAAGGACCCTTCGGAAGTATCTGTTGACTCTCAGGAGTTTCTTCAAAGGATGGTGTGAATACAGTTTCCTTTTAGTTTAGGCAATCCTTATACCATAGTGCTTACATCATCACATGATAATTAACGTACTAATTTGACAACATCCACTTATAAAATAAGATGCAGGACATAATTACAAGTATATCCAATTAGACTGAGGACTGACCACAGGGACCTATATTTACATCTAAAACCAGATATCATATTGGGCATTCAACTCCCACATTGGCAATGAAAATGAGTTGTGTAATTTAACAGTCGTAATCTAGGTTTTAACCAGGTCATGATGCTCCTGTAGTTGGTAACTCATTAAAAGAAGTGTACATAACTCATATATAATTTCTGTTTGTTCTGCTAGAACAAATACCAGTAGCTGGAAGCCACAGGAGAGGAAAGTGCTCTTGTGCTTGGGTTCTGCTTGCGGGTTTCCCATAGGTATCTGCCTGGGTACAATGAGAACAGGCATTGGAACCTAGTTTTTTTGTGTTTATGTGGTACTGTGCCTAACACAGAGACCCATGGATAAAGATGTGCCATTGTTGATTTTCCTGTTATGTGCATAAGGGACAACCATGTAGTTTAGCAATCTAGAGCAGGGATGTCCAACAGGTCGATCACGATCTACTGGTAGATCCCCATGAGGTTTTGGTAGATCACGGTTGATTGCTGGATCCCTTTCCTTTGTCGTTGTTGTTGTTTAGTCGTGTCCGACTCTTCGTGACCCCCTGGACCAGAGCACGCCAGGCATTCCTGTCTTCCACTGCCTCCCGCAGTTTGATCAAACTCATGTTGTAGCTTTGTGAACACTTTCCAACCATCTCGTCCTTTGTCGTCCCCTTCCTGTGCCCTCAATCTTTCCCAACATCAGGGTCTTTTCCAGGGAGTCTTCTCTTCTCATGAGGTGGCCAAAGTATTGGAGCCTCAGCTTCAGGATCTGTCCTTCCAGTGAGCACTCAGGGCTGATTTCCTTAAGAATGGATAGGTTTGATCTTCTTACAGTCCATGGGACTCCTCCAGCACCATAATTCAAAAGCATCAATTCTTTGGCAATCCCTTTCCTTAGTGTTGGTAAAATAGATTCCAGCCCTGCCCCCTCGTCCCGGCCTCCATTGCTGCACGATCTGCATAATGGAAGACGGAGTTTACTTAGGGAGGCTGTTTGTTTCCCCGCAGTGATCTGTTGCTGAGTGGTTGTTCCCCTTGAGCCTAGGCTTGGATTTTCAATAACTGGGGGTTTCCTCCTCCCTAAAAAAAGCTCAACAATTTTGACCTGAACCCCCCCCAAAAGGGGTAGATCACTGCCAGTTTTTAATTCTGTGAGTAGATCGCAGTCTCTTGGGAGTTGGCCACCCCTGATCTGGAGCAAAAGCTGAATGAAAGGATTCGCTTTCAGTCTCAGGGTCTAAATAAAGCAATTAAAAATCATAATCTAGTATCTAGTGAAGCTTGAAATGAAGCCAGTGGCAAATCTTCCACTGGAGTCGGGGTAATTGTGTGTGGTGCTGTATCGTGCCCGCTTTGAAACACTAAGCCAATTCCAAGGGGCGCCTTCTGTGCCTCCTTGCCTTGCGGGCCTTTCTGTTAGCAGTCACACCAAATAATAAGCTCATCAAAGCATCTACATCTTGGCTTCCTCCTTTGTCTACGCTGATCTGCTGACCAGCCATATGAGGCAACAAGCCATGATATTAAGAGCTCCACCTGCAAATGCAGGCCTAGATTTCTCTACCTGTTCACAACAATTTAAATTGAAATTTCTGGAAGTGAAAATTTAAGAAAACTTTTTTTTAAAAAAAAAAACCCTACAATTTAAATTCTGGAACTGACTGCTGCATTTTGCAGTTTTATTTTTGTTTTGAAAGTGGATTAGATATTTCTACAACAGCAAAAACACCACTAGATTCAGCAATAGGACAACAGCTCTGCGGCAGAATTTCAAATTCAAAGATTAGACTTATGTCTATAGAACCACCAGCATGCATACACCACTTTCCAGATTAAGCAAAAACACAGGCTCCTGCTTCAAAGAACTTCTAATATAAAATCTAGGTGGAGAGCAGGGATTGAGGAGAAACTGCACATCCCTTGTTTTACCTTAAGTGCAATATTCTTTAGACAAAAATGAAGGCGATTGCATCTTCAATTTTTGTTTGTCCAGGCCTGTAAAAGGTAAAGGGACCCCTGACCATTAGGTCCAGTCGTGGACGACTCTGGGATTGTGGCGCTCATCTCATTTTAGTGGTCGAGGGAGCTGGTGTACAGCTTCCAGTTCATGTGGCCAGCATGACTAAGCCGCTTCTGGCGGACCAGAGCAGCGCATGCAAACACCATTTACCTTCCCGCCGGAGTGGTACCTATTTATCTACTTGCACTTCGTGCTTTCGAAGGTTGGCAGGGGCCGAGCAACGGGAGCTCACCCCGTCACAGGGATTCGAACCGCCAACCTTCTGATCGGCAAGTCCTAGGCTCTGTGGTTTAACCCACAGTGCCACCCGCAACCCTAGCTGTATCGTTAGACTGCACCTAAAAGCTAACTGTTCCAAGGACAAAGGCATCAATAGGTGCATTCTTTCATTGCTAACATGATACTGGGACACCACCCGCATCCAGTCCAGGACTGTAGCAAAGTCTAAATTCCCTTTCCTTCCACTAACCAAGTACGTCCCATTATTCTTGAGAAAGACTGACTTCTGGAAATGTTGTAGCCCCCAATGCCAGAATGTTGGCATGGGTCCCTCCCTCCTTCTCTCTCTCTCTCATGCACATGCACACAGACCTTTGTTATGTGTCCATTTCCCCCTAGCAAGTGCCACTAAATGCTATTTAAGTAGCTAATTAACTTTCTGTGCTAGAAAACCTCCTGTAATTGCGATTCTTTCACCTTTTTAGCCCAGTTCCCCAAGGGAGCTGGAGCTGTCCTCTGGCATTTGTTCTGCTCCTTCCCACCACTGAGGCAAAAGTTCTACCTTGACAGCAGCCTGCCAATCATGGCCACAAAGGTCACTAGGGACTGCATTAGGAACATTCCTGCTACAGACAAATTTGCCTAGCTACGCACAATGGAAAAGATGGAAGGTGGGGGGGAGCAATGCTTACATGAAATTTCCATGCAACGTTAGGTAGCGGATTCAACAATCTATATATATATAAGCTAATAATTCTTCTGAGTTTATCGGTTAACAGATATTCCTCTCTTAAAAATGGATTACGGAGATATTCAAAGCCCAGACTGTTTATATTTTGTCTGTGCTGGCATCTGCTCCTCATCAAATAGTGGGGAAATAGAAAACAAAAGCCCTTTTGAGTGATGCTTGCAGCAATGTCAGTCATTTTCAGTATCCATGCTAATGCTATATGGGAAACTTTCGTATCAGACCTTTACTCTTCTCTCAGAGAATCCAAAATTGCGCATGTGTGCACACGTGAGCGTGCACACACAAAACAGGATTCAGACAAGTTATTTTGTTTGGCATTTTGATCCAAGATGAAAATACCTAGTTGTGTACACAACTCAGTTGTGTACTAAACCGTGTGTACTAAACCATGTTTAGTACAGCACACTCCTTTAGTGGGACGCTTAATAACAATAAAATAGAAAATAGAAAAGGTCAGGATTATAGCTCGCTCTAGAAACCCTATCATTGCATTAAAGGCGAGCTCCCTTACTGCTCTGGCTCAACACAAGGACACAGTTGTGTGTGTGAGTGAGAGATCCTTTGTAGAACCCCACTTCATTTCCAACATATTAAAAGGGAGAGGAAGGGAAGAGAGAAAAGAGACAATTTTCAGGGCAATTTCACAGCCAGGGCTGTGCCTGAAGTGGAGGTTGGATACTCCTCTGAATCTGCCTGGCCAGTGTTCAGCTATGCACAGCATGGAATCCGTTAATACACAAAGTCTTTTTATATTACACCAGTTCTGATAGGCCTCCTAATTTTTAATTTAGAGAGAAAATGCATGTCCTCATTAGCCATGATTCTCAAAATACAGTCTGCTAATAATAGAGAGATGCCAGAGGTGATCATGTGGCACATTAGCAGGCAGGAAGTGTCCATTTTGCACTTTCCCCACTCCTCTTTTTTGTTGCTGTTTTGTTGTTTTGTTGCCCCTCTAGCCCAATATACATTCCAGTCAGTGACTGGCCCAAAAGAGCCATTCAGTGAAACTGATGCAATTTCGCCTACATTGCATATTTTAATCTATACAACATATTCCAATATATTTAAGCAACAAAGAGCTTGATATTTTCAGGATTCTGGTACAGAAGCATGGCCAACGATTCCTCCACTAAAAAGGTTTGTTAGCTACTATAAGTGATGCAAAGAGGATAAACAGCTTAATTTAAAATGGGAATGGCAAAAAGGAAGAAGAAGAAGCTGTTAGCAGTTTGCTACGAAATAATCCATGTGCTTTAATCTGCTTTAGCCAGTCAAATGCAAGTTGTACATTCATGTATAAGTGCGCTCACTCTCCCATTTCTCACACACACACACACACACACACACACACACACACACACATATACTTGCTAAACAGGTGAGGCATGCTTCGGTAAATCCAAGGAAAGGATTTTCCTCAACATTTTTGTTGTTACAGTTGCTTAGCGGTGACAGGTCTAGTCGTTTGACACTTATGAATAAACACAGTCACACACCCCTCTGCAGCTTAACACAGCTAACCATTGAGAGGCAGGCGTGGACATGAACCTGACCTTCCTTTTAAAACAAGGCAAGTATTGCAAAAGCCAAAAGATACGTCTTTACATTCTGTACAGAAGAGGGGGGGTCCTTTGCGCCTGGGCTTCAGCTTGTTAATAAATCAATTGAAATGTAACACTTCTCTCGCCCGCCCCCCCCCCCCCAAATCCTAGAGATGGAAAATGTGATTTCTTAGCACAGCATGAAGAGAAATGTTTACCTTCCAGCTGGTCCAGCCTGGAAAAGGAGAGCTTTCTTAGCCTTGTTTATTCTATTTTATTTTATTTTTGAAAAAAAGAATCAATGGGTCATTTTGCAACGCTTTCCCTGCCTCCCTCCTCCCTATCCATCCATGCAAAAATAAAAGTCAGAACTCATTATGCTAATTACAATCAAGCCTTTAAAAAAAACAAAAAAAAACTAAGTCACTGGAAACACCTAAAGATTCTTGTTCTCAGATTCTTAGCATATTAGCAATGAGCAGAGAATCTCAAAGGGTCCTTTTTTTGCCTGGCAGATTAAAGCACCCCCCACCACCAATTTATATTCTGCTGAGAACTCCAGCACTTGCCCAGCCAGCACCACCCAAAGAGATTGGCACCGCTGTTCAAAACCCACTGGAGTATGGCATAACATTCCACAGCCAGGGAGGGGGCAGGAATGGGGAGAGCTGACCAGAAGGGTTACCAAGAGTGTTTAATATTGTTATTTCAAGGGCTGGGATTAGGGAACCAAGCCAGGCAATTTTCGCTGCATGAGCTGCAAGGAAAGAGAGGGAGGGAGAGAGAATTCTGTTCTGAACAAAAGAGTACAGAATACAGACAGAGCGAGGCAGTGAGCAGGTAGGACAAGAAAGGATGCTCTTTGTTAAATATTAGCAATAAGTGCATTGTTAAGGCAGCCGCCAATGAAGCGCTCGTCGTAAAGCAGCGCAGGAGAACATATGGCCTATCGATGCTGGGATTAATGCTGGCTTGCAAAAACAGCCACTCTGCCTATAACAAGTAGGAATTGCCTCCAGGCCAGCCAGGCAGGGAATTTCTTGTTAAAGTTGGAAGAGCCAAAAACGGCTCGCAGGAGTATGCAAAAAAGGAAGAAGAAAAAAGGCAAGCAGACCAGTAAGTATTGTTGCTGCATAGTAACTTTTGTCAAATTGTCTGCAAGGTTAGATGAATGCGAATATCGAAGAAATAAGAACGGTGGTCATTATCAATCCATGTTCTTAAAACCTGGTTTAGCCATCAGAAGATAGCGGCAAGAAATGGCATCAACTGAAAAGGCTGAAAGGCAGGACATGGTTCCCTCTCAACTCCCAGCAGCATGGTCAGTGGCCAGGAATGGCGAGAGTTGAGAGTCTGCAACCCCTAGAGGGCATCATGGTAGCTATTCCTGCTCTTGCAAGGGGCAGGTTGTGCTGCTATGAGCATGTGAGAAAAAAGATGCACAATGGATGGTAGTTACAAGACTAAAAGGGTGGGGTGGGGAGCAGCAATGTCAAAGGGGCCAGACTGAATGGTGGTCGAGAAACCACACTAGTCTTTTTATCTGGCATGGGAACCATTGATTTACAATAGCCCAAATGACACCTCTCCCGAACTGTTGCATTCCTGTCCTTATATAAGCATCACTCCAGTCTTTAAAAACTGTAAAGGTAAAGGGACCCCTGACCATTAGGTCCAGTCATGGCTGACTATGGGGTTGCGGCACTCATTTCGCTTTATTGGCCGAGGGAGCCGGCGTACAGCTTCCGGGTGATGTGGCCAGCATGACTAAGCCGCTTCTGGCGAACCAGAGCAGCACACGGAAATGCCATTTACCTTCCCGCTGGAGCGGTACCTATTTATCTACTTGCACTTTGATGTGCTTTCGAACTGCTAGGTTGGCAGGAGAAGGGACCGAGCAACGGGAGCTCACCCTGTTGCGGGGATTCGAACCGCCGACTTCTGATCGGCAAGTCCTAGGCTATGTGGTTTAACCCACAGCACCACCCGCATCCCTTAAAAACTGTAGATTTTATTTATTTTTGAGCTTCCATCGCAATTGCAGAAGAGTCCTTTCAGGCACGAACTCATATAATGCTTCTGCCTCATGTGGTCTGGAGGTTGCAATCCTTGATAGGGCTGGTGACTGACTGTGTGTAAACCCTCCCTCTCTCTGTTACCTGCTTGCCTTTCTGCCATCAGGCTTCGCTATCCCCTTTTGCTTCTGTCCTGCTCTCTTCTTCTGTAGAGTTCTTGGATAAACCCGTTGTCAATTTCACCTCCAGGGTGGGAGGAAACAGGAAACTTTGCCCATTTCCCCACTGCTAAAAGAGCAAAAAAGCAATCCTGGAATAGGGTTGGGGGCTGCTGCTGCAGTAGCTGTAAAAGAACTGCTCCCTTCCAATGGAGCTGAATTTGCACCAGAATCTCCTCCCTTCTATATCCCATACACCAGACTCCTCCAACCTTTTTGGACCAGGGGAAATATGTCATGGGTAGCACCACAACATGTCCCAGTGATTCATCAGACATCAGAACATCAGACAGTGATTTTAAAAAGCCTCTCTTTTTCTTGCCTCTAACCCACCTGACCAGGGGGAAAAATACCCTGTAATGTCAAAAAAGTCAGGAGCAGCAAGGGGCACTCTGGCGTCCATGGGTGCCACACTGAGGTAAGGGACGTGGTGGCGCTGTGGTCTAAATCACTGAGCCTCATGGGCTTGCAGATCGTAAGGTCAGCAGTTCAAATCTGCATGAGGGGGTGCGCTCCCGTTGCTTTGTCCCAATTCCTGCCAACCTAGCAGTTTGAAAGCATACCAGTGTGAGTAGATAAATAGGGACTGCTGCAGCGAGAACATAAACGTCGTTTCCATGCACTCTGGCTTCCGTCACGGTGTCCCGTTGCACCAGAAGTGGTTTAGTCATGCTGGCCACATGACCCAGAAAAGCTGCCTATGGACAAATGCTGGTACCACACCCCATAGTCAAATTCAACTGGACATAAATGTCCAGGGATCCTTTACCTTTATCTACACTGGGGATCCCACTCATACACTTTTTTTCCAGCTTAAAGCTTGTTTTTGGTTCTATCTATATCTATCTAGACAAACCTAGACAACATCTTAAAAAGCAGAGACATCACCTTGCCAACAAAGGTCCGTATAGTTAAAGCTATGGTTTTCCCAGTAGTGATGTATGGAAGTGAGAGCTGGACCATAAAGAAGGCTGATCGCCGAAGAATTGATGCTTTTGAATTATGGTGCTGGAGGAGACTCTTGAGAGTCCCATGGACTGCAAGAAGAACAAACCTATCCATTCTTAAGGAAATCAGCCCTGAGTGCTCACTGGAAGGACAGATCATGAAGCTGAGGCTCCAATACTTTGGCCACCTCATGAGAGAGAAGACTCCCTGGAAAAGACCCTGATGTTGGGAAAGATTGAGGGCACAAGGAGAAGGGGACGACAGAGGACGAGATGGTTGGACAGTGTTCTCGAAGCTACCAGCATGAGTTTGACCAAACTGCGGGAGGCAGTGGAAGACAGAAGTGCCTGGCGTGCTCTGGTCCATGGGGTCACGAAGAGTTGGACACGACTAAACAACTAAACAACAACAACAATATCTATCTAAAATCAAAATGTTACGTTGCACCTCCTCTTTACAGCACTGGTGCATACTGTATACTTAAGATGCTCTCTAAAGAAAAAAAAAATACTCTCTTGAATTTAAGAGGAACATGAGTGGTGGCAGGTGAAAAAGATGCACAGGTAAAGCTTCCTGGTATGGGGAAGAAGAGGGGGTGCCTCAATAGACATCACATTCAGTGCATGGGAGCAAGCTCATGTACAGCTAGCAGTGAACAGAGCTGGTTTTAGCATAGTTTATGCTAAGATAATAAAATACTGTTGTTTTTTTCACTGGCACCTTAGAGCTGGAAACAGGAATGGCTGAATCCTGGATTTAGTACATGATAGGTTCCATGGAATGAACAAGCCTTTTTTCTTGCTTTCCCCTCAACTTTTCCTCTTTTGAGATATTTAAATCATGGGGTTGGCTTTCAGTGAGCTTTCCAGTTTGGTCAATAAAAAAACTAGGGGAACCAGTTAGAAGAGCATGTACATGCAACCACTTGTTAAACCAGTTGCCTGCATTACCCCAATCTGACCACTTACCTACTTCCTAAGATTTCTGGCAATATAACCATCAAACACTCTTCTCGATTAATTTAAGTCACGGTGACCTCCAGGCACATGTCTAGAGGTTTTGTGATGCCTTTTTGCAAAAATTGTAGGGTGGAACTAGGGTGGGATACTAGAATATTGCATTACTGGTAAGGAACAGCCACAGGAGACAAAGAGATTACAGAAACTACCAGTTTCCAAAACACTGATGGAATCAGATTCTTTCTAGGGATGTTAAGTAACTGAATGAATTGCATTCCCAATCTCCTTTGCCTCAGAATTTTAGTTTTCTAGGTGTAGATATCATTTCAACACCGGAGAGCAACCTAACATTTATTACCCGTTTTCCTACAGTCTGAAATAGTGCACAGCCCAGTAGCAGTTTTACCTCCTGATCTTCTACTTAATGTGGAATGCGCTTCAAAACCCAACAAGATTTCATGCGATTAGCAAACGCTGCACAAATGCTTTCAAAGGTAACTTCTGTCAGCAAGCATAAGGACTAGAAACTTGGTTCTTTTCGATGCATGAATGGAAAAAGCAACACAGGAATCTGAGGCAGCAACTACATTTTGCATTACAGACATCAATGGCATGCAAAATTAAGACCTTCCTGCCAGAACTCTCCATTAAAATGCACATATATCACTCTCCTAAAACCTTCATGTTTTAGGTCATCTTTCATCCAGGCTTCCATGGGAGAAAAGGAAACCGATGGATTCTGCATTGTCCTCTATTTGAAGGCACACACACACTTCAGCTCTCTCAATCATTGTCTCTCCAAGGACATGAGGTCAGAGGCCATGTCCCTAGAGAAGAAGATGTTAGCCAATCACAGCACAGCAGCGGCAAATTGTTTAATCACCAGAAAGCAGCCTGCCCATGCAACCTTCCTGGAAGAAACTGAAGGGCACAAGGATCAAGATGGGCTACTTGCAAGTGGAGGAACAGTGATGATTTTGCACTCAGAAGGCAAGTAGGTCCATCAGCAGCTATGCCTGCCAAAATGTAAGGCAGGCAATAAATGGCAGAGTTTGATTAGTTGCTAGCCCAGATGATATAGCAAGAAAAGGGCATGTTATCTCCCGAGAAGGATCAATGATAGAATTTTCTTCTGAAGAAAAGCAGAAGGTTGGGACAGCCTCCACCCAGCTTTAAATTTAGATGTCTCTGGTGTTCCTTTGGTTATCCAAAGCTGTGCTGAGAAAAGTGTGCCATCTACTGGACGCATGAAGAGATGACCTCTGATTGCTAGTTCTTTCGAAAGCACAGAAAATGTGTTGAATACAGAATGGGAGAGGGGCAAGGGAGAAAAAAAGAAGGACCCAACCTATTAATCTTCCCAAAATCAAGAGGCTTGATGGCAGTGGGAAAATGCAACACAATACTGGTCATGGGATGAGTTAGCCCAAACCAGATTGTACAGCAGTTCCATGAAACCTTGTTCATTTGAACGCGGGTACTCCAGACAAATCACAATTTGTAACCAAGGTTTGTCCTTGGTTTACTGCTCATGGTTTGCCTAGACAAGGCACCCCCAAACCTGGCCCTCCAGCTGTTTTGGGACCACAACTCCCATCATCCCTAGCTAACAGGACCAGTGGCCAGGGATGATGGGAATTGTAGTCCCAAAACACCCGGAGGGTCGAGTTTGGGGATGCCTGGCCTAGACTCTAGAGCAGTGGTGTCCAAACTTTTTTCAAAGAGGGCCAGATTTGATGAAGTGAAGGGCCGTGAGGGCCGACCAAAGGGCCAACCAAGGTTTTTGACCTTTTTTATGATTTTACCCCAAAGCTGTTGACCTTTTTTTAGGATTTAAGTTGTTGAGGGTTTTTTAGGATTTTACCACAGGAAATAAATTGCCACAGGGGCTGGATTAAACCAAGTGGTGGGCCAGATTGGGCCCCCAAAACAGACTTTGGACATGCCTGCTCTAGAGCCAGGCAAACCAGAAGCCTAAGTTTGGAAGCAACGCTAAACCAAACCAGGGCTTAACTCCAGGTAGCATGGTAGCAGGATGACTGGGTGTGGAGTGAAGTGGATGCAATTTTTGCTTTACCCATATACTCATGTGTTCACACTTAGCTTAGTGTTATATGTCAAGCGGGAAATACAAGATAAAGTAAAAGGAAGTGGAAGATAAGGGAAAGAGGACGAAACACTCTGTATGCTGGTGCTGTGATGTGGTGAGTGGGAAAAAGCAAAGATGAACAAAGAACTTGTTTGAGTAGATACACAGTGGATTGTGCTGTAAGTCCCATGAAGTGCAATGAGACTTACTCCTAGCCTTGCCCAACCATGTTTGCTCCAGGTGTTTGGCACTACACCTCTCATCAACCCCAGCCAGCAATGATGGAATTTGTGGTCTAAAACGTATGGCAGGGGATGAGGTTGGGGAAGGTTGCTATATAGGACTGCAGTGGTGGGTGCAATCCTATACTGGTGACTCCCCACTTACGCGGGGGTTACGTTCCGGGCCCCCGTGTGCATAAGCAAAATGTGTGTAAGTGGAGAGCCTCGTCACGGCAGGGAACTAGGGTGATTCTTTCTTCTTTTACAACAAAAACAGGCCAGAGCTCTTCGGAACCCTACGTAAGAGAAAGCAACCCATATTGTTCCTTTGCCTCCAGATTGCCAGAAAGAGCAGGGAAAAGTGTGTCCAAGCCCGCTGCAATGTAGCTTCCCGTCCAATGGCTGTTGAGAGGGGTAGCGCAGCAGCAGTGATAATCCCCGCAAGCCATTTTGGAGCCTATAAATTCTTGTTTTAAAAGTCTTTGAAACATCGGGCTCTGGGGAGGGTCTCCTCACAAGCCATGAGGACTTTCCAGCTCTGTCCTGCCATTTCCAGATTTGAATTTATTTAAATCGATTGATTGATTTCCCAGCGCCACACATATACAGGTCCGGGGGGGTGTGTGTGTTATGTCTGTACCCAGTTTCCAGGAATAAGCTCCCTTGAACTCAATGGGACTCTCTTTCAAGTAGATATGCATTAGACTGTGCTATTAGTCTTGTACTTATCCACCAGCCCAATAAGCCAACCACAAAATGAACTGTGACTTGCTATTTTAAACCCACCGCCATAGCTGTGCTTTTTTGTTCTAGTATAATAAATTGTTAAGAATTTAGTATTGTATTGATTCCTGAAATGGTTTGCACGGAGACAGTGTGGTTTTTATTATGTATTCTTTGTTGTACTAAGCTTTATAGTTACAGAGTTTTGTATTTACACTGGTTGGGAACTTACTTAGAGTGCAGTAATTGCGGACAAACTTGACTTGATCACATTAGCTCTAACCTTTCATTGAAAATTATTCCCCGTTTTACTTAAATTTCTCCCACGAGTACACTGGCAAAGCAGACTCCACCATTACTGCAAGGGCGGAATGCCTTGCAGTACAAAACCATTGTTAGGAACACAGGAAACTGCCTTGTACCAGGTCAACACCACTGGTCCATCTAGCTCAACACCGTCTACACTGACTGGCAGCAGTTGTCCAGGTTTTCAGACAAGGTACTCTCCCAGCCCTATTTGGAGATGCTGGGGATTGAACCTGGGATCTTCTGCTTGCAAGGCAAATGCTCTTCCACTGAAATACACCCCTTTCCCAGTATCATGTTAGCAATGAAAGAATGCACCTATTGATGCCTTTGTCCTTGGAACAGTTAGCTTTTAGGTGCAGTCTAACGATACAGCTAGGGTTGCGGGTCGCACTGTGGGTTAAACTACAGAGCCTAGGACTTGTCGATCAGAAGGTTGGCGGTTCGAATCCCTGCGATGGGGTGAGCTCCCGTTGCTCGGCCCCTGCTCCTGCCAACCTTCGAAAGCACAAAGTGCAAGTAGATAAATAGGTACCACTCCGGCGGGAAGGTAAATGGTGTTTGCATGCGCTGCTCTGGTTCGCCAGAAGCGGCTTAGTCATGCTGGCCACATGACCCGGAAGCTGTACGCCGGCTCCCTCGACCAGTAAAGCGAGATGAGCGCCGCAACCCCAGAGTCAGCCACAACTGGACCTAATGGTCAGGGGTCCCTTTACCTTTACCTAACGATACAGCTACATTGGGGTATGAAGTCTGTAGATACAGGCGTCTCCCCAATTATGCAGGGGTTACGTTCTTGGGTACCGGGCGTAAACATGAAATCGTGTATAGTCAAAACACCATTGGGTTCAGTGGCGGGTGGGACTGAAGAATTTCCCAGATGTCCGCCCCCATTCCCAACCCCTTTTTATTTTCTTTTTATTTTTGCTAAGTGCGTAAAGCTGATTGCACACAAGTTGAATGTGTGTAAGTGTGTGTGTGTGTGTGTGTGTGTGTGTGTGGAATCCCTGTACTACAAGTCACAACAGAACACTCCTGTTGCAAAAGCCATGGTTTCTAGATCAGGGAACCAGCCATGATCTGACTTAGTGTTATGTCAAACCAGAGCTGATGATTTGTTTTGCTCCAGACAAACCAGGAGATGTAACAAAGGTTTGCTCTTGGCTTACTGCTTGTGGAGGAGCAAAAAAGCCACAATTTTCACTCTGCGTACTCAGGTGCTTGCTTGTTTACACTTAGCCATGGTTTGCCTTAGCACTGCTTGCAAACCAGGCCATAGTAAACCTTTACATTTCTGATAGGAAAATGTTACCAAATCCCTTAGGTTACTTCTGGAGAAAGAACTGCATCATCTCTCTCGTACAAATAGAACAGCTTCTAGAGATAACAGATACAACTACTTCCACCTACCTCATGACAAAGTGAGGTGCTCACACATTATATACCTTGTTAAGGGTATATAATCTCAAGGCAGCGTGTGATGTCCCTGTGTGGTGTCCCTTCTATTTGGACAATCTTTTCCTCTCATTCATTCACAGGGATGCTTACAGAGCTCTGATCTGTGGAGAGCTAAAAAATTCTACTGGGCTATGGGGTAGAGCAGAGAAAGCGCTATTGGGCCATATTGGTTTGTTGAGGTAGTGAGGGAGGAGGACAAAGAGAGAGATGTCACAATGCATTCAAATCTCCTTCCATTGCCTTATTCCTTTCCAGAAGACCTTGACCATATTTACAGCGAAAGCACCAGACGGGAGACAAATCCGTGGACCTTCAAAACTGACTTTGTTTCTTATACTGGTCTACTTTGGATATGTCTCACCTTGAAAAGAATAGAAATCTATTAATTTCCATTCCCAATCACCCTGCATCTTTTGCCAACAATCCATCAAAAGCCACCACTGCTCCCTTGTCTTAGGTAATAGGAAGAGCCCATATGAAACAGAGCCTATCTAAAATAATCCCTCTCCGCTGTTTAAACATTGACACAATGCTAGGCAGCTCATACCTTTGACATTTCCTGTTTTGATCCCAGTTCCTCACAGGGGTTGCTTAAGGCACCATCGCCTCCCATCTACAAAGCTACTCTCCTTTCACAGGCCTCTGCTGGCAACAGACAGACAAAGAAATCAGATCAAATCTTTACTTAGGGTTATAAGCCAGTTTTGACACAGGCAATGGCATAGAGTATCAGTTAAGCACAACAGAAGCATCAGTAAATGCATAAAACCATAATAAAAAGGAAGGTGTACACAGAAATTCTGTCTTTGTGCTTTATGTTAAGGTTGTGCTCCTTAAGATGGATTGTCCTTCCACTATTGTTAACAAAATGGAAATGGTGAAAGAAGATCATTTTTGCTGCACAGCTTGCTCCAATTGTCCTATTTGACACGTGTAAGGAATGTTCTTTTATAGAACTGGTGGTTGATCTTAAATTTTACCACCTTCCTGGGGGTGGGGAGATGGTACAATCCCTTAGCTTCACTTCCTTCCTGGATTTTTATTTTGTCTTACAGGTGCCTTTGATGATGCAGATGTGCCTCTCTCTGTTTCTGACATAGCCCTATAATCTCACTGAAATAGGCCCATTTGGTACATTTGACAGCCTGTTACTGTATTCTATTATCCAACTCAGTCCTTAATTCTACAGTAGGTGCAAGGCAAGCTATTGACAAAGACATACAAAGGAGTCAATGAGTCTGTCTGGTGTAAAAACACACACGCGCACACACAATCGTTGGGACCTTAATCAACTGGTTATTTTAACCTCACTCACCTTGGGTCACATAGCAAGGATGGAGCTAAAATGACTTAAAATGCAGCCTATGGACAGATTGGGCAATTAGGATTGGTTTGCAAGTTTGGCATGCCAAATGTACCCCTGGGCTCTCTGTTTTCGATATATTAGTCCTACACAGCTACCTTTCTGGAACTGTGGATTGCTTTATTTCAATCAATATGCTGACTGAATAGGTGACAACGCTGGAGATAATCCGATTCTATAAAAAGAACACAAAGGAACACAGACTGCATGAAGTAAATCCCATGTCACCATCATACAGCAGAAGCCAATTTCGAAAGCCTGGTATTCCCTGCTCCCTACGCTTGCTTCTCCATCCATTACATACCTATGGCTCACAACTGCTCTGCCAGTAATTTCATCTCCTGCTTAATTCTACAGAGATCTCAGCCAGCACCAGCCTCCTAGGTGAATTGCCACAACAGCATGATGAAACATCCCAGACTCAGTTACTGCTTGCAGTCCCACAGACACTTGTACACTCCCTGCCCAATAACACAACTGGACAAGAAAGCAATTTAATCACCAGCTCCCTAGAAAGGAGTCGAAACAGAAAGGGCAAGAAATATGCAAGCGTTGCATCAAGCCAAACCCCGCAGAAGCTGCCTCTTGAGGATTCCACGTTTTTCCTGGGCACATGCATCCCTCCCGTCCCATTTCTTAATTCCTGCTGTTAACAGAGAAATCTGAGGGCTCCCTTGGACAAAAAACAAGGACACCAGCCAGGAATACCAGAGCAAAACAGCAGCCAGTAGGCTTGGTCTTTACTGAAGACTGTCACGACAGGACCCCCAATTCCTGCAACACTGCCACTAGAAAGAAGGGGGGGGGAGCTATATTACTTACTACTAGGGCTGTTGCCTGACCAATCAATAATATTACTGTCAATAAATTGATTAGCCAGTCCACTAACTCTGCAGATGAACAACACACTAAGCATGAAACACAAAGCACGCTTTCTTTCTTTTAAAGAAATGCAGTGCATGTTCTGGCAGGCATCTATTTTCCTTTTAGAAGAAAAATGCTTCTAAAAAGCCACCTCCAATTTTACAAACTGTACTTTTATCTTTTTTAATAAAGACAATCAGATGTTCAATTAACAGGGGTCACATTTTTGAGTGGCCAGCATTTTAACTTGATTACACATTGCAGCCCCGCTTGTTAAAAGACAGGTGAAAGTTTATTTTGAACCCAGGTTTACCAGCTCTGCAGCTGCAATGTGTGCTATTTGGTCTTGTGCATTTCTGTACTCCACATGCTATTAAGGGGAGTCCTTGTTCAAATAACAAACCAGAGGGCCAGGCAGCGTCTGGAGGAGAACCAGAAAACCAAAGGGTGTCTCATAGCACTGCACACACACACAAAAACCATCCCAAGAATCCAAGATTGCTATATGACAGGCTCCACCTCTGTGCATACAATGAACATACAGTGGTGCCTCGCAAGACGAAATTAATTCGTTCCGCAAGTCTCTTCGTCTTGCGAGTTTTTCGTCTTGCGATGCACGGTTTCCCATAGGAATGCATTGAAAATCAATTAATGCGTTCCTAGGAAGCCGCCTTCAGACCAGGTCCGGGGACAGTCTGTCCCCGGACCTCTTCTGAAGGCTGGGGGGAGCAAGGGCTTTCTTCCCACCCCCAGCATTTTAAAAACCCGGGACAGCGGAGGACTTCTCCGCTGTCCGGGCGATCTTAAAATGCTGGCGGGCGGCATTTTAAAATCACCCGGGACAGCGGAGGACTTCTCCGCTGTCCGGGGCAATTAAAGCCCCTGGGAAGGCAGGCAGGGGGACAAAGACTTTGCCCCCGCCAGCCTTCAGAAGAGGTCCTGGACCTCTTCTGAAGGCGGGCGGGCGAAGTCTTGCTCCCCGCCTTCAAAGCCCTCCGGGACAGGCAGGCAGGGGAGCAAGACTTTCGCCCCCGCCCGCCTTCAGAAGGTCTTCCCTCCCCCCGCCCGGCCGGAGCACCGTTCCGAAGCCGGGCGGCGGCGGAGGTCTTCCCTCCCCGCCCGGCCGGAGCACCGTTCCGAGGCCGGGCGGCGGCGGCAGGTGTTCCCTCCCCCGCCCGGCTCGGGCACCGTTCCGAGCCGGGCGGCGGCGGCGAGTGTTCCCTCCCCCCGCCCGGCCGGAGGAGCCTTCCGAAGCCCGGCGGCGGCGGGAGGAGGTGTCCCCGCCCCGCCGCCAGGCTTCGGAGGAGGTCCGAGGACAGTGGGGAAGACGCGCTGCGCTTCCCGCTGTCCCTGAGATTTCCCTATGGGCTGTCGTCTTGCGAAGCAAGCCCATAGGGAAATTCGTTTTGCGAAGCGCCTCCAAAACGGAAAACCCTTTCGTCTAGCGGGTTTTCCGTCTTGCGAGGCGTTCGTCTTGCGGGGTACCACTGTACAGGATAAACCTTTAAACATGGACATATGCCAATGGTTAGCTACCAAACTGAGCAGCAGGCCAGTGCTGAGAAGGGAGTTGATGAGCTACCCCCTCTCACTGTGTATGAATGCCAGAAATTTCATATATGATGCATAAAGGGGTATAATGCGGCCACTCCAAAAATAACTTGCTGACAAAACAAGGATCAACCTACATATGATGGAACAAGCAACTGCTGCTTTAACGTTGTAATGTTTTCCTTTAGATTGCAGTTTGATTCACCATCTGAGATATTGTGCATCATGGTTTTGATGCCTACTTCCTTGGGAGGGTTTTGTCCTGGAAGGCGGCATAGATAGCTAGATAGCTAGATATAGATATACAGTGGTGCCTCGCAAGACGAAATTAATTTGTTCTGTGAGTTTTTTCGTCTTGCGAGTTTTTCCGTCTTGCGAAGCATGGTTTCAATTTTTTCAAAAAAATCTTCAAAAACCTCAAAAAAGGCTACCACACCGCATACTATGAGTTGCTCCCCAAAGTCAAGTCGCAACTGCACCTCTTCAAGCAATGCACCCTGTATTACTGTAACAGTTTTAAGAAAAAGGAAACAAACTTGCAAGACGTTTCCGTCTTGCGAAGCAAGCCCATAGGGAAATTCGTCTCGCGAAGCAACTCAAAAAATGAAAAACTCTTTCGTCTTGCGAGTTTTTCGTCTTGAGAGGCATTCGTCTTGCGAGGTACCACTGTAGATGGTATAGATATAAGTAGAGAGATATATAGCTTCTGGCCACCCCAATCTCCACTGCAGAGTTTGAGATTCCAGGGGTCTTGGCACTTTACCAGTGTCCGTGTTTCCTTTGGGGAAAAGAGGAATAGTGGAGCCTTCAGTATCTTTGTGAAGTACAGTTTATTTACACATATTTACATCTGAGTCTGGACGGAGAGAGGGTTCCGAGCATCACATCTCACGAGGGGCTCGCTCGTCACGTCAGTGCAGCCCTGGTACCAAGGTAGCCCAAATGTCATCTGTATCTCCACACAGCTTCTCCATGTGTCAGCCTGCATGGCCACTGGCTCCATCCTTCTTTCTGACCAAAACCTTTCCTAAAATGCAACCCAAGACTTTCCTAAAATGCAACCCAAAAAGGACATTTTTTCCTGTGGTGACATCATGCCCCCTGTAACCCTGGCAACCTCCCCTTCCCAACTCTGCTATTGTCTTTTGCTAACTAACAAGTAGCTGGGGGAGGGACTCCACCCCCCCTTCTTGTGTGACACTGAATGTCCCAATGGCTCGCCTTTCGTCAGGGTAATGTCAGTGCCATCATCTGCTTAGTTCTTTCATGGCACCTCTCTCAGCCAATCTCCCGAGAAAGCTGGCTTGACTTATTGTGAAGGCCCTGCTAAATCCATTGAGCCAACGCCACATTCAGTAATTTCAGAGAGTAATTGGGAGAATCTGGCACCCAGAATTTTAGAGGATCCTTGCCCCCAGCAAACCCAGAACAATATAAAATGAACAAGGACAGGATACAACTGGAAAACATAAACTGCATCCTGCCATGAAGGTCACAAAGGAGAAAGATAGGAGCAGCCCAGGGGCCTCTCAGCTGGAGCCTTACATCCTTGCAGAGGCAAAGACCCTTTCCTTCCTCTTGGAATCTCCTAATAAGGCCCTAGAATCAAGACGGACAGGGCTTAAGGACAACATCCTGGCTCGTATGTTCAGCTGCATGAAAGAAGCAATATGTAAACTGGGCAATCCACACCAACACAAATATGTGGAGGCCTGGATTAAGTATCTTCCTCACTTAATAGCAGTAACAGCAAAGGACTGGAAGAGGGTGACTCATGCATATGGACTGTGTGGCATATCCAGCTCATATATGAAATCTCCCCCGCCCCATGTGACTGCAATAACGTAGTCTCTTTCCAAACCAGGGCAAAGGAAGATGATATTCTGTACAAAAAATAAATGGGGGTGGGCACCAGGGGACTGCTGATTTGTGTTGATGACATCCCTGTAGCTATTTATGGGGAAAGGATGTCTCTCAGCATCCAACCCTGCTGTTCTGCGCACGCAACAGACTCCCAATTGTGCAACAGGACTTTCCCTTCCTCTCCTTCCTCCCTGCCCCATAGCCCCGCCCCTGCACCCTCAAAATCTACTTTGGAGGGTTGGGAGTCCCTCTGCCGCCTGAAATTTTGGGAGCATGGCGTGAACAAAACTCCACTTGCAAAGCACCAACCACACCCTGTGTGCATATTGACAGATCCACTTGGAAGCAATAGCCTGGACTATCAAACAACCAAATGTTGAAGTTAATTCAGTGCAAGAGGATCTAGGTTTGAAATTACATGAACGTCCAGCTGTTTTCATCCACGCACCATTCCTTCTGGAGATTACCTCTGAGCAGCCTCTCAGTGCAGTCCAGCAATATTTAACTCACTGTTGGACTTCAAACTTCAGGCCTGGAAAGGTATCTAAGCCTGTGTTTTAATAAAGACCTGAAATCATCATCATCATCATCCTGTCCAATTTTACTGGACTTGCCATGGGCTCAAGAACATTTACTGAAGCAGGGATTTGTATACGAGCTTGAAAGAGAACGATCAAGTCACTTATATTTAATTTTTAAAAACCTTTAACCACATTTATAACAATAAAAAGTAAAGTGAATAAAAGGTGAAGTAAACCAGAAGTGATTTTGACATTTCAGCCCTGAGAGATGCATCATTGTGCAATGTTAGAAAGGAATGGGACAATTGAAAAAAGTGTTAAAGATGTTATCTTTTACTTCAGTCCTTTCTTGCCAGTATGTAGATGCAGACATCTGTGCAGCCTGAAAACCGTATTGTGTTTCAGCTGAGACCCTCGAAGCCTGATGAAAAACCTGGGAGAGCCTTGCATATGGTGTCTAATAAATGCAAAACCTAGTTCAACTCAAGTTTGGCTGATTTCTCTGGCAAGCTTGTTGGGGCTTAAAAAAAGAAGCTAATGTACAATTTATTTTAACTGTATTTTTTATTCTAAGGAAGGAGCATTTCAGAAAAGTGAGTTCGAATCGTTTTATGTCAATAAACAACTCTCCCAACCACCTACCCACTCCCACCATCCCACAGCTTGAAAGACCTCAGCTACTCTGTGTAATCCTCCAAACGTGTTTACTAAGAATAACATCCACAGATTGCAGTACAGAATCATAGAAGTGTAGAGTTGGAAGGGACCCTGAGGATTATCTAGTCCAAACCAGCAATGTGCAGTTGTCCCATATCGGGATCGAACCTGCAATCTTGGCATTATCAGCACCACACTTTAACCAACTCGGCTATCCAGTAGGCATGTCTTGAACAGCAACATCTTCTGGAAACAAATAGAAATCCTTGACTGCCTTTATTCTATAAACCCCAGCCCACAGAACAGGAATGCTGCCTGTTGACAAGTAAGCATCAAAAAGCACACGGGATCTTGGAACCATGCAAAGTTAACAGCTTTGAAAACCAGCCTTCTGCAATTTTAAATATTTTCTCATGTGCCAATTTGCAATAAAACTGAAAGGCCACACGAGGGCACCCTCCCCACACAATGAGCGGGCAAAACAGTGTGCACTGTACTAAATTGGAGAGCTGTGGCTTCAGTCACATTTTATTGATAAAGTGTAAATCTTCACCCTAGAAAATCAGCCTTGCAGTTTGTCACAGAATGGTAAGTTGTATAAGATCTAGATTTTGAAGCGCAGGAACAGGAAGACATGGCAAGCCACTCCTGCACAACAGCACTAGAGGAAAGCAGAGAGAAAAATCAGCCTGGCAATTTATAATCTTGGCAACCTAAATTACATGGATAGTAGCACAGCCAGCCTAAGCTCCAAGACTATATCCAGGGTACTGAAGCACACAACTGAGCTCCTCTTTCATCCATCTTTCAGACAGGTAAAAGTTGTCTTGGATATACAGGTGACGACCATTTCGTGCCAGGGTTCTGTTCCCAGCCCCTGTGTGCATCAGCAAAGCCCATATAAATGTGCCCTGCCTCCATTCTGCCCTGCCAGCCATTCAGTCCCCATTCTGTCTTCTTCCAGGTCCAAATGGACCAATGCGTTGGCAACTGCATGTCAACTGGACATGGCTAAAACGGTCGCTGCCTGTAGATAACATCAAACAGAGGTGCCCCCAAACTGAAAGAAGCAACTTGCCGTAAGGCGATGTTGTCAGCCAGCTAAAAGCTATTCCTTACATGACATGAATACTAATAAAAAAGACAGGTACATACATTCAGATCCATATTTAAGTAACATCCTGGTCATCAAAGCAACTTATACCACGGCTTGCAACTACACCTCCATTGCAGCGGGTATCTCAAAACAAGCAGGGTCTACCATCTCAATGACCAAATGGGATCTCATATGTAGCGACTACTGTCAACGCATGTCACCACAGTTGGACAGCTAGTGGAATCCAGGGCCTTCACCTCTGAGGCGCAAAAGAATAGACTGTAATCCTATACACACTTATGCAGCAGCAAGTCACACTGAACTCAGTAGGACTTCTGAGTAGACATACATAAAATCACACTGCTGAGAGTAGTAGAGGGAACGCCCCTCAGCAGGGGCAAAACCCGGACAAACAGTTGTTCTACAACTGGATAATCTTGCTCCTTGATTACTCCGTAAAAGGAGAAAAGGAACATAAACTCACCTGTTTTCATTAACCAGGAACATGGAGCCAACATTCTCCACCAGGGCTTCACTGATGGGTGAGAGGCAGAATGGAGAAGAGAAGGCATCAGAGTCCGAGTCAAATGTGCTGTCTCTGCTGACATCATCGGCAGACAACTCCAAAGAGCCCTCGTCGTCCTCTCCAGTCTCCAGGTGGGTCTCCAGCCCTTCTTCCACTGACTCCTCCAACCGGTTGTGCTCCTCCAGAGAACTGATTGTCGATAAGATACCTGAGTCACTGTGGGCAGGCTGAGCCGAGCTGTGGATGCTGTCGGTTGCCAAGCAACCCTGGGACAGCTTCTCCCCTTCCTCCGAAGGGCAGCTGACGTGAGCCACATCCCTAACCAGCTGCGACACGGTCAGAATGTCTTCTTCATCCTTTGGGGTCACAGCTCGCTTCTGCTCGGAGGGGGAAGCCTGCATAGTGGCGCCAAAACCCTGAGTATGGCGGTTACGCTTGCGGGGGGCCTTGCGGACCGGGGAGCTCTCTGGTGTAATGTAGCGGAGGGCCTCCTCGTCCTGCCTCTGAATTCGGGAATTTGGGACCCAGGCCAAGATAAGCGTGGTTCCAAGCAGCTCATCTTTCTCCATGTACAGGCACAAATAGCCTATGAAAGAACACAGTGCCCCAGAGTTACAACCAAGCCCCAACTTCATGAATGGCAGGTATCCTGAAAGGGTGCTGAGCACTCCAGTTTCCTGCTACCACTGGGAATCCTCCCATCACTCACTTGCCTGTTGAGCAGCTCTCTCCTAAGCCCAACTTCTTCCTCCTCCCCTAACCAGACCCAATTGCTTCATCCACTGGAGCAATGTTTGGTTGACTGAGCATCGTTCTTGACTGCATTTTACTTTCCAACTAGTATCTACAATAGCTCGGTTTGGGATCCAGCAGGGCATTAGAGGCAAAAACATAGCCAACTCAATCAGCACATCCAAGTCATTTTTACACCAGAGCACTCTTCTGGCCAACTGCAACCCAAAGAATAAGGATGCCAGTCCTAGAAAATCAAAATGGGAAAGGCCACCATTCGGTTATGGATTATCTGCCTTGATTACAAAAGGTCCAAGGTTCTATCCCTGATGGGAAAAGCTCCTGCCTGAAACCCTGGAGAGTTGCTGCCATGCAGACTAGACAATACTGAGCTGGATAGACCACTGACTCTGACTTGGTATTAAGGCAACTTCCTAAGATCATCACTTACTCCTCCAGAGCTCATGTCAGGCTGGAATCTAGTTGAATTTCAGGATGTTACTAAAGCAGGGGTGGGGCAAATGTTGATTAATCATACTACCCCCCCTCAAAAAAAAATATCCCTATTAGTGTGGGGTAGGGAGTAGAAAAGGATTGGCTCCTTTATTACGCTGTTTTCTTCTTGCCCCAGCATAGTTACCAGCAGCGTTTTGGAGGAATGAGAAGAGATGCAATTTTAACTGGGAAAAAGACTCTGGTGGAAAAGGGGGAGCTCCTCTTGTTTTTTAAGCTTTTAACAAATATTGGGAATTCCAATCTTGCATCCTGTGCAGTTTAGCCCTAAGAGGAGGGTCTTTTTTAAAAAAACAACACTATTAATTCACCACCACAGACACTCTGATGTTTTACGTAAGAAATAATAAAACATTAGGAAGATGAGAAGGGAAGAACAAGGAATACCAAGTGGACCCTCCATAGCAACTTTGAAACGGGATTGAGAATAAGAGGTAAGAAGTCAAGGGAGAGGTTTTATGGAACAATTAATGCTTACTGAGAGACTCTTCTGTGCGCAAAGTGTATCCCATAGAACTTTCCTTAACATTAAGTCCAGCATAAAAGTTCAAGGTGCTGATACCGCTGTGCAAAGCCTTATACCGCCTGGGACCACGATACGGAAAATATCATCTCACCCCATGTATACGCAACTGATCACCATGCTCTGCAGGCACCATCTCATCATGAGATTCATTCCATACAATGTCGGAGCCTTTAGTGTTACGGCACCCACCTTCTGGAATTCCATTACCTGTCAGACACATGCTATCCCTATGATCTTTTTGGCACCCGTTGAAGACTTTCCTCTTCCAACAAACCTTTCAAGTGGACATTTTTATCCCAATTTTGAACCCGAAACTACATTTAATAGCTGTTTCATTATTGAAGCTTTTATTGTATGTTTGTTTTTTAAAAAAATTATTGGTTTTCTCTTATAACACAAAAACATAAACACAAAAGAAAAACATTACACTTAACACAACATAAAAACATAACAACAATAAAAACAAAATAATAAAAGAAGAATTATTTCTTCTTATTTCCTAGTATATTTACATTGCTAAAAGACTTCCTCGACACCCTCCAATCCGAATTTCATCATATCACATACTTAGCAGTTCCCAATTTCATATTTTATAACACCAATATCTCTTTTTTTTTCAATTACGAATTTCTAATCTTGCTTCCTATTGTAATCCATAATATTCATTATTTATTAATCTTTTCCATCCCTCAGCCTAATCTGTTACTTCTAAGAATTTCTTAATGAAGCTTTTATTGTTAAATTGCTTCAAGATTGTTCATGGGGAGAGACTCGTAAACAAAATGAGATAAACCAACACAACAAACCCATGTCTCCAGCCTGCCCTCACCTGGGTGATGCTCCACGATGCCTTGCAGCATCTCAGGTGGATGGACACATACATTGTTCTTGGAATAGATAATCCCCCCATCCAAGACGGAAGACGAGCCGCCACCGCTGCTGCTGCTGGCATTTAAGGTCAGGAGGTCAGATGCTTTCGAAGAGGCACGTCGGAGGAGTCTTCCCAGAGACATTGCCAAGGGAGTGTTTCCATTCTCTGTTGACTCCACTTAAGCACCTAATTCAGACAGTCAAGTCTGCCCAGGGGGAAAGGAGAGAAAGTGTCAGAAAGAGAACAACAACAGGTAGAATGGACAGAAAGACACATACTGCTTGCCTTCATGCCTCAGTCACATGAGATTAGTGGGGGGAAATAATACAATACTTGAGAGAATAAGAAAGTCTTTGTTAAAAACAAACAAACCCCACTCCAACACAGTTTAGGCAACTACTTCTAGAAAAATGAGCTGTGGACCACAAAAGTGTATGCTGCCACAGCAGATTGGTTAAATATTTGTGGGACCACAAGGCTTACGGTTGGTTTTCTTGCAACACCAGAAATGGAACCTGTAATTTGGAGTTTCTTTTTTCTCATTCCGAAGTATTAAAAATAAATGATACTGGATTCTAAATTCACAGCTTTTGGTCACAGATTTCCAGTGTCACTTTTAACACTACAGTGGTACCTCGGGTTAAGTACTTAATTCGTTCCGGAGGTCTGTTCTTAACCTGAAACTGTTCTTAACCTGAAGCACCACTTTAGCTAATGGGGCCTCCTGCTGCTGCTGCGCCACCGGAGCCCAATTAATGTTCTTATCCTGAAGCAAAGTTCTTAACCTGAAGCACTATTTCTGGGTTAGCGGAGTCTGTAACCTGAAGCGTATGTAACCTGAAGCATATGTAACCCGAGGTACCACTGTAGAGTTCTTGTCTGCCGTTCAACAGAGAGATGAGGTGGCCCAGAAAAAATGAGGGAACACCCCCTCCCAAAAAACCCCATCCTCTTTCCTTCTCCATACCACCTTAATATGTAACAACAGAGGGACTTTCTTCAAGAGCTATGCAATCACATTTTGGAACAGAAGCTGTCTGAAAAGGAGGATGAATTTTAGCTGAGAATGCACCAGGTATTTTCAATAAGCATTTCTGCCATCATCACTTATTTCCTTTGGATCTCTGCAGAGTGATGTTGGGAACACCTTGCCCAGGAGTGCAATTTGGGAACTGCCGTGGCTATTGTTTCCTTTGTAGCATAGTGACAAGCCTCTGTATACATAGCCTCTGACTCCTCTTGAAAATGGAGCTTGTCCAGCAACACATTCCTGCCATCACCAGCTTCAGATATGAACTGGCTCCAAAGGTCCACCAGAAAAAACAAGCCAAGGGAAAACTCATCCCACTCAAAGCCTCCCTCCAAGCACAGTTGTTCCTTTTTAGTCAGTACTCTTTGTTCACAGGGTCAGCTTAACCCGGTCTGGTTTCTATGGTCCCTGTAACAACACCTGGATATACCAGGTGAGGCATCCCCTGCAATGCCAGATTCAAGTGCTTTTAGTCTGTGCATGAAAAGACAGGTAGAAAATGAAAGAAAGAGAAATATCAGCAAGCAAGCCTAGATCAAACCTTACTGTGTGCCTGTCCCCCTAAATAATTAACAGGAAAGCAGACCGGGGGAAATGCATGCATAAGCTAACACAGGAGAGAGACAGTCAGAGATGCACAAAGGAGAGAAGGAAGGAGGAAACAAAAAAAGGCAGATGCACTAATAGCAACAGACCTAAAAATCACACTATATAAAAGCCAAGAAGCTATTTATACACACAAATAGTTCACTTTCTACCTGTTCTTAAAATTATGGCTTTCCCCCCTTCCTTCTAGAACATCTCCCTTTGCACCTTCTGCCAACCCCATTACCTAGAGAACATGGGTTTTCCTTTCCTCCACTGCAGCAGCATGTATGTACCATGGGAGGGGAGGCAGGGCATACTTCTCCTCTATATTAAAGCAGAGGCAGTACATTTTTGCAGTGCTGGGCAGGGAGGACAGCCTCCTCCTTCCCCTAGCGGTATGATCTCCACACACAGAGAGAATGTGTTCATCTGCCTGCTGATATGTATGCATGCTACATGTGTCGTCTGTGTGTGTACTGTATATGCATGAATGCAGTTGCGATATGTATGTGTGCAAACATGAAAATGAACATACAGTGGCCATGCCCACCACTGGCATGCACCTCCAATGCGGTCCTCAGGCCACAACAGGTTAGCCACTCCTGAATTAAAGCCTATTCCATCTGTACCATGCACCTGGCACTACAATGGCTGCAGCACTTCCTTACTAGGGTTCAAGTGAGGAAGCATGTTAAGGAACTACACAGATTTGAGAGTAATTTGCCAGAGGGCAGCTCTTAAGACGCTGGTTTTCAGAAAGTGCATCCCATCATCCTTATGGAGGAGTATATTCCTTAAACATTCTGAGAAGGTGACCCGGTTATTTCACCAAGACATCTTTGAAATTTCACATCCTACTCTCCACTACTGCCAAACACACACTTCCAGGTCAAACCAGGCTCAAAAGCTCTTGATCCATGTATATCTCTCGTCTCACTGAAAAACGCAGACAAAACGAAGATGCTCACACTTCTGTGGAGAGAAGCAAAACTGCTTGCAGCCATGTTGTTCCCCTGTATTGTGCAGCAAGCCTTGTGTATTGTTGAGCTTGTGTGACAGTGTCATGATGTAGTAGCGTCTTACTGGCAGAGTCAGGGAGCAGCAGATGCATCCACGGGGGGATGCAAAGGCAGCATTTCCTCTGGAAGAAAGAGGTGGGGGGGGGGGGAATCTGGCCTGCTCAGGCACAAACTCACATGTTTTCCCAGCTATTTTCTCCAGGGGCCTGAAGCAGCAGTAGATTGACCCCTTATGGAAGGAAAAGCAGCCTCGCATTATCACCAGCTTTTGCTGAGCAAAAGCAAAGCAGCTGTTGAACATGAAAAGGGGTTTTTTTTGTTTGGTTTTTTGCCCACGATGAGGATCTAAAAGCAAACAAACATGCCACCTAATCCTACACTGAACTTGATCTCTACACACAAAGGGTGTTGTTCAACAGGCATAAGAACCTCTGAATGACAGTGCTTGGGAAACCCAAGACAGCATATGACATGAATACTACATTTCAGAGAACACAGGGCTTATCAGGCCGGGAGGAGAAAAGTGGTTGCATCAATCCCAAGCCATTAGGGCCACAGATAAGCAGTAGTGCACCTGCTTTTCCTGCAGAAGGTCCCAGGTTCAATCTGGTCTCTCTAGTTTGGGCAGGTGAAAGGCCCCTGTCTGAAACCCTGGTGAGCTGCTGCCTGCTACAGTAGACCAGCCTTCCCAGCCTGGTGCTTTTCAGACATAATGGACTCCATCTCCCATAAGTCCAAAAAAGCATAGCTTAATGGCCATGGGCAATGAGAGTTGCAGTCCACCAACATCTGGAGGCTGGGGAATACTGATACAGGCAACACGGAGCTAAGTAAACCAATGGTCCGACTCTGTGTAAAGCAGATTCCTGTGCTCCTATGAATGTATCAGTGGGCACAGCATGGTTGCTCTGCTTCTATGGTTAATGCCACTGCATCCCAGCAATGCATAACCTTCTTTCCACATGGCTCAGACGTGCATCATGTTTACAAAACACAGAAGCAACGTACCGTATTTTTCCGTGTATAAGACTTTAAAAAATAGTAAAAAACCTGGGATTGTCTTGTACACAGAACATGGGCATCTGGAGGGATTTTTTAAAATATTTAAGCATATATCCGGGATTTTGGCTTGGGCGGGCTGAGGCAGTTCCTCCTGCTGCCTCCTGAAGCGCTCGCTGGCTCGACCACCGGAGCGAGAGCAGCTGCCACTGCAAACTGCCTCATCATCATCATTTTATTTGTATGCTGCCTTTCCATAGTTAAAAACAATGCTCAAGCCGACTTACAACATGACAAGATTTACATAATTTTAAAAAGTCATAAACAATAAATAAACCACATCTAAAAAATACACAACCAAGTGGAAAACAATTTCCACATGAATCAAAATCTAAAAATAAGAATGCAGCATTAATATCACAGCTGCCTCTCCTTGCTGTTTCCTCTTTTTCCGCTTCCCCTCTCAAACTCCCACCCTGCCCCCAGCCCACTCACCACCTTCCTCAGCTCAGTTTGCTTGACGGCCTAGCCTGGCCCACAGTGGGCGCTGCCTTCCCCTGGCTCTTCCTTGGTATTCTGCTTGGGAGCCTCCTTCCCCTCGCTTCCCTGCAGCAGCAGCTGCCACATGCGGTGCCCCAACCGCTGCCTTTGATTCTGCACCACGGAGCAGCACTGCATGCGCACCTCATGCTGGAAACTTTGAGGGTGATCGCCCAAAAAAAGATCAACAACTTGCTGCCACCGCTCATCCAAATTTTCACTTCTGGTTTAGGGTTTTGTTTTCTTAATTTTGGGTTCAAATAAATAGGGGTCATCACATACATGGAGGCATCTTATACATGGAAAAGTATGGTACAGTGGTACCTCGGGTTACATACGCTTCAGGTTACATATGCTTCAGGTTACAGACTCCACTAACGCAGAAATATTACCTCGGGTTAAGAACTTTGCTTCAAGATGGGAACAGAAATCGTGCTCTGGTGGCGGGCGGCAGCGGGAGGCCCCATTAGCTAAAGTGGTACCTCAGGTTAAGAACAGTTTCAGGTTAAGAACGGATCTCCGGAACGAATTAAGTTCTTAACCTGAGGTACCACTGTATTCTCTTTTGGGAGGTGCACAGCATGTCAACAATGTAAGTGCACACAGTTCACCTGAACTGTGTAGGAGGAACCCCGGAGTAACATGGAAGCGACCGCACTGCTCCAAGTAATGCGCAGAGCATGCCTACATTGAAGGTTCTGAGGACAGACACTTCTTGGGGCATATTCCCAAGTAAACATGATGCAAGGCCTTGGTGCAGACAGGAGATTAGTGCTGTGGCATCACGCTCTAAAACAATTCCTGTTTTAAATCACGTACTGCAGAAATTTCAGGTTTGGAGAGTCCAGTTCCTCATGTTTGGAAACAGCAAGCAATTTGTGAAGCTGGCCCTTCAGTGCTCTCCCCCACCTGTGATGCAATCATGTGCGGTGAAATAAAATCCCAGCTGCCTTAAAAAATAATAAT